TTTAAACTATTGTCATTGTAGTGCGTATTTAATGTGGCGCTGCACTCTGATGTTGTAGGAGAAAACATTTATAAAAAAAAGTATATTTAATTAACTAGAACGTGTTGTCTGTATTTATTTAAAGTTGCGCATTTTGATGTGACGTCACATTTCTCACCCCCCCCCCCGTCACACATCGTGACGTCATTTATGGACGGCCCCTTACGAGTTCACTCAAGCCACAAACCCGACACCATTTGGCCTTTTTAGTTTTGACCAATGCCAGTGTGCCCCCTTTTTGTTAGAATTTAAAACTCCAGTAAACGATTTCAAGCTATGAGAACACAAGCCCATGTGGTCTCACAACATCGCCACCAGCGGGTCAGCTGATTGCGGCTGCAGGTGCGTAGCGTTACGTGTGATTGACATGGTTGACGTGGGCATAAGGTATTCCCACGGTTTTAAGGTAATTTTGGGGTGCTGATTCCAAATCTGGCATCAGTTTTTTGTCTATCACATCAGGTTTTTGAGATATCAAATATTGGATTTTTAATCAAAACTGCAGAAGAAAAATATTAAATAAATGTGGATATCTACATAAAATGATATTATAAACACACTATCCTAAAAATACAGCACCATTTTTTAACACTAAAGCAGTCACTGACTCGCAACAACTTGCAATCATAAGTGACAGAGTTAATTTCGGGTAAAATCAATGAGAATGGGGTATGCCAATAGCATAAAATGAGATGTGATAGAGCAAATCTGAGATCAGATTTGGAATCAGCACCCTGAAATTGGTCTAAAACAGCTGCAAAAGTCCAGGCCAGAAAAAAATGTGTTTTTTTGTTGACCAGTGTAATATGGGGTTCCCTCTCCTCCTCCTCCCCGCGACAACTCCTCACCGCCCATACGGCCCGCGGGGCCTGGCGCAGTTGCACCGCCTGCACACTCCAGATCTACGCCACTGCGTGAAACAGAAACAACCATAACAACAAAACCACACTACACCGTCACCGGTTGTGAAATAAAATCCAAACGGTCCTCGCCATCTGCTCGAGAGGGTAATCTTGGCCTACTACTCCACGCTGGGTCAGATTTTCACTGCTGGCTTGGCAGAGGCAGCAGGGAGGGATTTAAGGCGGCATTGTTGAGTCCAACGTGGTACCCAGTACACCATTGTCAGGGCTGTCCATGGGGGGAGGGAGCGGGGGGTGAACCCCCCCTCCCCCCGCCGACGCCTTTAAAGTAAACCAGAAGAGCGGGGCCGCCCCCCAAAGCGCGGGGCTCGGGGCAGTCGCCCCAATTTGCTGCGGCGGCATCCCTCACGATGGTGGCGGCCAATCGCAATCCACCACTGTGGATGGCGCGAATAATCGATTTGTTATTCGTGTATTTTGTAGGATTGTTGGATCCATCTGTGCGGAGCCTCCAGTGTTATCGCATCGTACACACCGGTATGCCGGTTTATTCCGTCGCCCCGCACCCCCACCGCTTCATATGCCGAGCCAGGAGATCAATCCAAACTGGTGACATCTGGATTGCAAGTCCGGTGTGTTAGTAAAACACATTCCTGCGGAGGGAGCTGGTGTAGAAACGTTGGGTTGCTCGGTCAATGGCCAGGGTCAACGGCGGCGTGGTGTATTCCGCAAATATGTCCGACTGTGAGGGCTGGCACAAGCCGGCGTGAGTAGGTTAAACGTTGAGTTTTATAAGGGCACCACGGGTGACCAGCCCCTCCCCACCCAGCCCCTCCCCACCCAGTCCCACCCCTGCCACCCAGCCCCTCCCCACCCAGCAACACCCTCGCCACCCAGCCCATTCCCACCCAGCCCCTGCCTCCAACCCCAGCCCATCCCACCCTCCCCTCTCCACCCAGCCCTACCCCTCCCATTTTTGGATGCACGACGGACGGACGGACACAATAATCCCCTGTGGGCTGGTGGAACCAGGAGGTTCCTACCAGTACCATCGGCATCACGGCAGCGTTCTATTGCTTGTTTTAATATGAATTACGAACCGCAGCCAATGGGACGATATCAGAGCGGGGTGGTGGTTGGGTGGGTGGTGTGATGGGTGGGGGTGGACTAAACTCGATATAAAAAAAAACCTGGGCCGGATGCCGAGCGGAGTGGAGTTTTTTTGGGAAGCCGTCGCACTCACGGCACTTAGGGAGTAAAGCCCTCGCCAGCCGCGAGTGCAATTTTAGCCGATTGATCAACTGATTGATTTAAGTGCGTTTTTACCGTCAATTTAAGAAACCATTAAACCAACAGTGTGGCCGAATGGAGGTTCATACTCTGAGTTCTTTCGGTAAAGTCACGTAGGTAAAAAATGAAATTAAAATTAATAAAAATAAAATAAATGTCACGTAGAAGGGAAATAATAAAAAGTAAACATGATAAAATGCAATTTTCACGACGTTTCGGCCACAACGCAAGCAGCCGTCCTCAGGTGAAGAACAGGTCTGTCGGAAAGACAGCGACAGACCTGTTCTTCACCCGAGGACGGCTGCTTGCGTTGTGGCCGAAACGTCGTGAGAATTGAATTTTATTATGTTAAATTTTCATTATTTTATTATTTCCCTTCTACGTGACTTTACCGAAAGAACCAAGAAGAGAAAAAACATTTAGTTTAAATAATTAGTGCATTTATTTACCCGGGAAAATATCTCCGACTCTCTAGACTTTTCTCAGGAGGAGAGTCCTGGCACACTGAGATATTTGACAAAGTCCATAAATCAACGAGGAGCTTTCCGATGTCAACCGTATTCTGGTTTGGGCCGCGTGTTATTCGACGTTTCGCTCCAAGCGACCGCAAGCTTCTGCAGGAAGTGCGCTCGGCACGTGGAGCAAGACGCCGGGAGACCCATCGCGCGTAACAACCCCGCAGAAACACGCCGGGGTCACTGGACCGCACCGCGTGACCGCGGAGAGCCACGCAATCTGTGAGTCTATTGATGAATAGATGCGAGTTTGACGCTCGGACCGACAATGAACACGTGTGGCGCCTCAGTGCCGGATTATCCTCGTAGCACAAGTAGCTACACATGCTACGGGCCCCAGCACTTTCAAGGGCCCCGCGCGAAATGCTTTCAAGTTTACAATTCCGGTTCAGTGATTCTGCACTTGCTCTATTACTATAGTACTATACCGCCTTCAACTTTTACGAACGACTGGGTTTCATCTTCTTGGTTCTTTCGGTAAAGTCACGTAGAATGGAAATAATAAAATAATAAAAATATTAAAATAATTATCACGACGTTTCGGCCACAACACAAGCAGCCGTCCTCAGGTGGAGAACAGGTCTGTCGAGGAGACAGAGTCATTCAGACTTTACCAAAAGAACCAAGAAGATGAATCCCTGCAGTCACGAAAGCTTTAAATCGGAACGACTGGGTGTTTAAGGTTAGCGATGTGTTGTATTATCTGGCTGTATAGCAAATGAAAAAATACAATTACTTTACAGTGCAAGTTAAAATGTGTTTATAATTGTGTTTTTTTTTATTTAGGACCCATTAATAACATATGCTACAGGCCTCGCACGAGCTTAATGTGATACTGGTGGCACCCAATCAATGCCCGATTGACTCGCCTCACCTCAGGCCTTCAAAATATTTATAGGTGATTTTTTTTTTACCAATTTCATTGTGAAAAAGCTAGCGGCGATTGGCGTTTCGAGACGATGAATTCGCTCGGATCTCTCGCAGAACAGCAGCAAACCCTTCTTCGTGCTAGAAAGTGGCCCACGGAGATGGGCACCACAGAGCTACCGCCCGAGATAATGTCTCGCGGGGCCTCCGTTCCGCACAGGGTACAGCACTTTCCCCACCCACTCTGTCACACAACAGGTAATGTTTGTCAGTAGAAACGAAATATGTTTAATTGACAAGGCTGTGATTTAGGCAAATCAAACGCAGCACCACATTTATTGTGCAGTCACCGGTCACCGGGCTGAAACCATGACCTCACTGCGTGCGCTTGTGAACCCGGTATAATCACAACTAAAGTCTAAATAATTGCACAATGAGTCTCTATGCGTGTCTGTGGGTCTCCGTATATAAGTACTGGCCGTTTCTCTATTAGTACCCATGTTTCACTCTACAAGTCGATGGGTCTCTATGCGAGTCAATGGAACTGGGCTGAGACCACATTTAACTCGCTACACTTGAGAATTCGGTTTAAGCAAAGCCAGTGGCCGACACCTGGATTATAACGCAGGGGTCACAGCGGTGCCGGCTCAGCACTCTTGACCTCTGAGCCACCCGGTGACCTCTACTCAATGATAAAAAACCAAGGCACAGGGAGGTGGGGGGGGTGATGTCGGTTTGGGGGGGGGGGGAGTCATGCGCGACGTGGCGGACGTGACTGCAAAAATCACACCGCGGGCGAACGCAGCGAGCGAGTGATCAGGTTACAAACAATTTCCATAACGCAATTACTGCCGCCATCGATGCGTGAACAGCATTAAGAATCGCAGCCGTCATCGCAAACCTCGGAGGCTGGAGCATCCCGCTTCCTAGCTGGCTCGCTGCTGCTGCTGCTGCACTTTAGAGAATTCAGAGTAACGCAGCGGTGGGGGAAGATCGATGAACCGGCACTCACGGATTCATGACAGCCACTCGCTCACCGGCGGCCGTCTGTCGCCTACTTATCACTCTGCTATCGGGACTACCACGGTCACTGTGGAAGTTCCCCCATTGATTCCTCCTCCACGCATGTTGAGGACTCGGTTTGCCAGGCTGTTTCACTTCATCCGCACTGCGTTCTACCACCACACAATGCAGGTCCCCAACTCATTCAACGCACGCACCCACCCACCACACTTCAGGTCACACCGCTTCTCTGTTTGCGTCTTACACCCCCCCCTCGCACACTACTCCACTTTGAAATTCCCTCCTCCCAGCATCGTCTCTTTTCGCCCCCAAAATCTCATTTCCAGAGAAACGTTAACTCTTATCCGTTACAACTTTAAGTGCCGTTTGTTGCTGCCCGCTTCAAATGTTGAGCCTTTTGTACCTTGTGCTCGGCCAACGAAACAGACGCAGTTTGTGGCATCGAGAGCCGAATCCTCGCGCCGTCGGCACCGACTGCAGCCGCCACCTTCATCGTCGTCGTCATCATCGCGACGGTGTCGACGCTTCACGACGCAGTGCGACATCGCATATCCGACCGCCGCTTATCCCGCCCCGACCAGACAACCGCGCACACCCGGTGCAGTATTTGCGCACGGACGCAACCGTCGTTTCCATCGGATGTTCAGAGTCGATCGTTCCACACGCGCCCCCAACCTCCTCGCGTCCGTTCGGACAATCTATTCTGAAAGTCACAGTCAAGCCACCGTCACGCGCTTAAAAAGCACCGCGGGATTTTCGTCCAGCACGCGATGCGTGCACGTGCATAACGGTGCAGCTGTCATCTTTACTGAAGCTAACATACCTGACCTGTTCTCTTATCCGCCGATGTCCCCAGCGAGTCGGATTACGCGATGTTGTACGTCAATAGTGGTCATTGTCAGATCGGCTCTACGCTTGCCGGAAAGCTTGCACACGACTCGCGATTACTCCGCGCATTGTGTGTTCAAGGTGTCGTTTAATTACAATTACGTTTAAAATTGTGCAGAGACAGAATACATTACCGCTTCGGAACCATCACGTGGTGGGTAGTGCATCACCCCATGTCACAGAACAAACCCGGCGAAGGTGACATCACAGAACTAGAACCCAAATCGCTCCGTCAACAAAACCTCCTTGGCCACAGCACACCAGGGGCGCGGCGTTCACACGCCATGCGAAGTGCACGCGTCACACGCCACTCACACCGCACGTCAATTAACAAATTACATTTAGCAAAATAAGTAGAACAGGGATTCTTTCCAGTGACCTCTGGTCCGCACGATAGGGGTGGTGGTGGTGGTGGTGGGGGCAGCACTTTGCCACCTCGTTCCGCCACACGAAAGTTAACGGTCCTTGGGCGAGTGAACCCAACATTTTAATCCTCAAAGAGCTGGAACTTCGTCAAATTAAGTGCGGGACCAACGTTAAACTTGCTCGTTTCCTGTGCATTGTCCACTTTGTGGCCAAGGCAATCGAGCCGCTGCACTTGATCACCCGGTTTAATCGTGGGCGGCTGAAACGCAGATTCGAACGCAGCATTTCAGCGGTGCTGGCCCGAGTGGCCGAGACACTGCGTTAATGAATCCCTCCGGTCCCAGCAACATGGCAAACTATAAACCATTTTTGTAACTATTTTTTATTTTAGCAGGTAAGGCCCACCGAGCTAAATATCTGTTGTTCAAAAGCGAACTGGCCACAAATGATAGCGCAACAAAGCGGCTCATCGCGTGGAAATTTATAGCAGCCAAATACTCTTAAAAGCATGTCGATTCTAAATGTGGAGGGTTAAAACAGGAGGACCCGGAGAAAAATCCACACGACCACGGGAAGAACATGCAAACTTCAAATAAACAGCAGGCATCAGGGACGCGATCGAACCCACGACCTCCTGTATACCGGGCGAGGGCTTTAACAGCTCGCCATTGTGGCACCCAACCAAGGTGGGCCCATTAGCATTCTTCATCACTACTGTGGTTGTCAAGAGCTCAGCCACAGCTAGGATACAGCTCCACCGCCACCCAGTGGTGATTCTTTGAGAGGCCTTGGCGGGGGGGGGGGGGCGGCAGGGGGAGTGGGGTCAATGCCCCCCATAAAACGAATGTATGTACCTCCCCGATTCCGAACCCTTCCACCAGAATTCAGTTGGTAGCTCCTCCGTGGCTGGGTAGGCGCTCCAGTTAAAAAGTGAAACGTTTCATCGAGGTGCAATGTTGTTTGACTTCGCCAGCGCCTCCCCCATCACTTCCGTCACGCCATGTCCCCCCGCAGCAGTCACAGCACCGACAGCAGGCCTCCGACGTCACAGTTTCATCCCTCTCATGGGAGGTCCGCACTACGAGTGTCAACAATGGAGGTCATTGACAAAACGGAACAAAAACTGAAAAGTGCACAAAGAAGCAAAGGCGGGGGGGGGGGGGCGTCAACGATTGGAACGGCACCGACAAAGAGGAACACGTGGATTGGAGAGCAGACGCAGGCAAATGAAGGTTATTCAAACGCTCGGGCAGGACACGTCATAACCCAGAAGGGATGGTGGCAGCGGTCAAGACCGACAATGGAGTTGCGGGCCAAGGAACGGAACGTAACCGAGAGAGAACGTCCACCCAGGGGACGGAGCGACGAATTTAGCTGTCGCACGCAGGTCCCGGGCGGATCGTTAAATCGACACGATCGCGAGAGGTGGCGACGACCTGGACAGGCCCTCGCACAGCAGTACACTGACGAAGGCCGACGACGATTAGGAAAATCGCCACGGCGACACGGCAGAGTCATCATCGCTATCGCCAGCAGTCATGAGCCGGTGCAGTATTTGCGCACGGACGCAACCGTCGTTTTCCTCGGATGTTCACAGAGTCGATCGTTTCACACGCGCCCCTAACCTCGTCGCGTACGTTCAGACAATCTATTCTGAAAGTCACAGCGGAAGGGGGTGGGGTGCCGCATCCCCACCCGCTTCCACAAGCATTACACGAAACTCCCCACCGCCCCACTTATTAACCGAGTTCCAAAATCTCCACGACGGCACAGCAGAGCCATCTTCGTCACCGCCACCACCATCATCATCATCAGCCATCACCGGCATCGTCAGCACTGCGCCGCGGGCCGTCACGTGCAGGCGGTGCCGCGCACGGCGGAGCGGAGGTGGCAGCGGTAGGCGGAGCTGAGGCCAGTCATCCAGAACTTGAGCAGCTTCACGTTGTCCTCGTCGGCCGCCCCCAGCACGGCGAGCAGGCGGTGCGTGTCCTCGCGCGAGCGGTTCTCCACCTTGGTGAACTTGAACAGCACCTTCACCTTGCTGCACAGTGGGGGGGGGGGGGGGGCGGGGAGTCAGGGCAGGGGGAAAAGGGACGGAGGGTTGGGTCAGAGGCAACGGATTGGAGGGTCCCGGGGAAGCGCCGGTCGAGGTACAAAATTTCATAATCAGAATATCTATTTATACCGGGGAAATCCAGCTTACGATGCAGGATGCCGCATCTAAGCTGGACCCAAAGAGTGACCAACATGGGAGTTAGGAAAAGGTTGCACTAGAAGAAGACCCGTCGATGCAGGCAGTGATGGGAATGAAAGTGGCTCTCTTTGGACACATATGGAGGATGGGAAACAACAGGAAATTAAAAGTGTGTTGTTACCGAAAGAACCAAGAATATAAAAAAATTGTTTAGATTAATAGAAAAACACGGCAGGAGTGCACATTACAGGCAAGGTAAACAAACCACGCAAACAAATATAAATACAGCGACGGGACGGATTTGAGAAGCGGCGGTTCTCTGCACGTGGGCCGTGTGATTCCACCCCCCACCCCCCCACCCTCGTGCACTGGTGGGGAAGACACAGGCTGTGGCACGGTTAGCACGCAGGAACGTTTCTTTTTTGATGCGCGCGCGGGAAACACCGGCGCCACACGTTTTGCGCCGACAATTACAACATAGTGCGCAACGTGGAACAAACGGCCTTACTCGCGCTGCGCTGACGTGATGTGTGAAAGAGTTTAAACATACGGCATACATACATCTCCGTGTATTGTGGCCTTCGTAACATGAAGAGGGGCGGTGGACACATCCGGGCAGGGTGGCACGGGGGACCAGTAGTCTTGATTGGGCGCCAGCAAATTAAATCACCGATTTCATTTTTGCAATTGGGTTGCTCAATGCCACTGCTGGCGGAAGGGCCTACACGCAAGAGGGAGCTCTAAGGAGCTCCTCTTAGAGGGTGCAGTGGCCTCCTTATCCACGGGGTGGAAGTGCCCACTTCTTACGGCGCCACACACAACTGCCAATCGACTAGGGGTGCACCAGAGGTCGCAAACGGGTTTTGATTCCTTACCCGTACCCGGCCGCACCAAGGTCGCAAACGGGTACCCGATACCCGGCCGGGTACGGGTAGCCGAGTATCGGGTAGAGTACGGGTATCGGGTACCCGATTGCAACCTCTGGGGTGCACCCATTCATATAGCTGGGTGTATAAATAATGGGGGGGAGGGGTGATGAAGGGTGGGGATAATGATGCAAAAACCTGCATCATTATTTTAACTACGACGCCGGGAGATCGGAGCGGAGACCTTTGAATTGCACAAATCCGGCGCGTCGACCGTTTCCCTCCGGCAGCGTCCGGCGCGATTGGCGGTGCACGGTCGCGATCCACCGCTCTGGAAGGGAATGGTTGGTTTGGATTTCTCGCTGGCGGATTGTGTAGGCCGCGAGGTGACCGGGGTGATGCAGCTACTGCAGCGGATTGTTGAACCTATCAGCGCGGAGCCTCTGGTGTTATCGCCTCGTACACGGGTAGTCCAGTTTCCTCCCGTGACGAGCAAAATGTTCCCGAACAGGAAACTATTCCCACGACTACGCCCATCACTACTACAGGACGAGTCAGGTCGTCACGATGATGATGTACCACCGTTGATGCGAACGTAGTTCTGAATCCGGCGTCAATTTGCACCGTGTCCCCCCACGTGGGATCCACATTGGCGTAGGCTCGCTCCCGTGGGGATGGCGTTCCTCCCGACAGCTTTCTCGCGTTCGGCGTGAAGCCGCAAATTGATTTTGCCGAACGGGAGACTCGGCGACGTGGCGGGAGTCGCGTGACAACGTGCGGTGGCGCTCGACGGATGTGGGGGAGGGGGGGGTAGCGGTGGCGGCAGCAGCAGCGGCTACTAAATGTGTTTTGCCACGCATGCTGCGGGAGGTGCCCTCGCGTGTTATATTTAATACGACGATGCGTCTTTCACACACAGAACGAGTCGTCTTTTTTGTCGGTGACGTATTTGGATCAAATGAAGTCAGTGTGACATTAAGTCACCGACAATACGAAACAAGGTCATCGAGAGTCGGGCGGCGGACTCAATTCTTGGGCCGTGGCCGGTCCACGGACCGTGGGTTCCCCCATCCCTGGAACACGGTAGCGAGATGTTAACTACCTCGCCTGGTATACAGCAGGTCGTGGGTTCGATTCCGACCTTGACGCGTGTATATTTGGAGTTTGCATGTCTCTCTCCCCCTGAATTTTTCTCCGGGTCCTGCAGTTTTTTTCCCTCCGCATTTAGAATCAACGTGCATTTAGAGCATTTGGCTGCCGCTATAAAGTTCCACAAGGCGATAAGCCACTTCGTTGAGCTATGAATTGCAATAGCCAGGTAGCTTCGGAAATAAAGCTACATGACTCGGTAGGCGTTACACCTGGCAAAATAAAAAAATAATAGTTTTAGTTTTTAGTTTAAAACCGCACGGGGGCGCGTCGGGTAACGGCTCATGGTGACTCGCCGGGGATGTGGACCGCACGCGGCAACTCACTTCATCCACTCCTCCTTGAGACACTGCACACACTGCTCCACCACGGAGAGAGAGAGGCTCTCGTTGGCCAGCACCGCCTCCAGCCGGTTGAGTATCGTGGGGCCTGCAGTCGCGGGTCGGGGTTTGGTGGGGGGTTTGGGTGGTTTAGGGAGAGAATGCATTGCTCATGACGAGGCGAAGGTGCCGGAGGCGAGATGCAACCGCCTGTAATAAAACACTACGTTCAGATCAAATGAGAACGATGCGGCGAATCAGAGAGTGATCGAGTGAGCGGCTTAGTTACTTGGTGAGAAAGGCAGTGATCGAGTGAGTGAGTGAGTGGGCGAGTGAGTGGGTTGGTAAGTGGAAGTGTTGAGTGGGTGCGTGAGTGGATGAATAAGTGGGTGATCGAGTGATAAAACAAGCAAGTGGTTTGGTGAGTGAGTGGGTTGGTGATTGAATTCACGTACAAGTGACTGGGTGAGCGAGCGAGTGAGCGAGCCAGCGAGTGAGTGAGCGAGCGAGTGGGTGTACGGGCGCGGTCCTCACCTCTGTCGGAGGTGGCGGGCGATCCGGAGCTGAGCGAGAACTCGTACTTGAGAAGGGGGTCGTGCTCCAGCGCCGAGAGGTCGGGGTAAACGCGCCGCAGCGCGGGGCCACGCGCCTCCACCAGCACGTAAAACTCTGCAGGACGCACAAAGACAAAGATCCCCCGTGTAGCCTTAACAGACTGTCGGGGCAAGTGCTGTTAGCGAGCACCTATGAAGGCCGGAACGGTACACGAGGGGGTGGGTGGCCAGCACCACGCCCTACCGCCTTTGTCTCCCCAGTGGCGATGTTTACACACCGCACCAGGTACTCATTTAAGGCTGAGTCAACCTAGGGGAGGCCCAGGACCGGTTCAGATAGTCGTCACTGGTGTTGGCCGTGAGCGGGAATCGAACCCGGGTCGCCAGGTTCATAGCGCAGCGCGCTAACCGCTACATTACCGCGATGATGTCATTACAACATATGACATGTAACGTCGTGAGATGACATCACACGTGATGTCATGGCCTTGGCCAAAAATGGTGATCCGTTATCGCTCGTATTCTTATCTTCTACTACAGTTTTTATTGTTCTTTTGTGCGTGCGTGCGTGCGTACCGGAGACAGCCACATGAGGAGGCAGTGGCACTCCTGGAAGGAGGCCCAGGAAGTTGCAGTGGTAGGATTCCTTGTACTCCTCGCTGTGCGCAATGATCCGCACGCAGCCCACAGGCAACATCGTCTGTGGGCACGCAATGCACACACGCAGAGTCTCGTCAGACCACGATCCGCGCTCGTTGGGCTGCGCGCGTGGAATCGGATATTCTCAATTCATGCCGACAGGATGGACAAGGGTGGACAAGGCAATGCAAGCGAGACAGACAAAAATTTCAAACAAGACGCAGATGAGACGACAAAAAAGGGTTAGAGGTTATCGAATCGAACTGTGATCCTCGAATCTTGACAAACCAATTAATTGCTGGGGGAATTAAGTATCACACAACTAATTGTCTCTGCAACAAGTCACTGTGCACACACAAGTACAAAGACCCCCCAGTATATCCTTAACAGTCTTTTGGGGCAACTGCTGTTAGCGAGGACCTATGAAGGCCAGCACGGCACACGAGGGTGTGGGTGGCCAGCACCACGCCCGACCGCTTTTCTCTCCCAAGTGGTGCTGTTTACAGACTGCAACCAGGTACTTATTTGAGGCCGAGTCGACCTCGGGGAGGCCCAGAACCGGCTCAGATAATCGTCACTGGTGTTGGCCATGAGCGGGAATCGAACTCGGGTCGCCGGGTTCGTAGCGCAGCACGCTAACCGCTACACCACCGCTCCCCACACAAATACAGACACACACACACACACGCATGCACACGTACCCACTTTGGCGACCGATACCTGACATCAAACCCAGAGATCTCAGCGGTTCCTACACAGTGTCTCTAACCTCCGGGTCACCCGGCGTATGTATGTTGAACTTTTTCCGCAGCGTATGTAGCCAACCGTGTTCATCGCCGGTAACTTGTCCGCGTCTCGCAGGACTTCTAGTTTAAACGACGTGCCTGGACACCACAGTACCTTGAGCACGTCGAAGGCCGATTGCATCATTCTTCTGTCGTCAGCCTGCCACACCACCTGGTTCCCCATGAGCACGTGCCACGCCAGCACACGGAACCATGCCGGCCCCAACACCTGCAGGCAAACGCCACTTACTACGACTCTTTTCCACTCAAGTTCAAGTTCATTTATTAGGTATAGCCCTGTGAGCCATTCGGCTCTTGAATCGGGTGCAACCGCAACAAACAAAAAGCATGAACAAGAAAACATCTTAAAGTGAATATGTGACTGAGTGCAAACAGAAAATCCAAGAAAAGACAGCAAAATATTGCAGAAAAAAACACCGTACACCAACGCTGTGTGCAAAAATCCCAGTGGGATGCAAGTCAAACAACCAACAACAACCACAAGACAACTTAGATTAAGGCCATCGGTCTAACTCTGTACTACAACAAACAAACATGGCTAAACCAATACACTTTTCTTAATCACCATAAAATAAAGCCATGAAACCAATGAAACAGTGATCATAGGAACTGTGACGGAATTTTCACAATAAATGGCATAAACAACATGTACTACCAAAACCCTGCAGGCAGAAGCTGGCTGCATGAGTCACTCCACAACAGCAGGAGCATCAATCGGAGTATTATAATTTTTCTCACTCGTCAAACCCGAGCCAGGGCAGGGCCTTGTGTGTCTACGTTCAACTTCTTTCGCCCCGTACATAGCCAACCATGCTAATCAGGTGCGGCGAAGGACAAGTAAACACAAAAATAGCCTTCACGGTACAGGTCGTTATCTCCACTGGCTATTTTATGTTTTGTTTTCTCCACTGGCTTCGGGGCAAGCAGGGTCAGGGGCGAGGCTAATAACACGTCTCTCCACGCATCTCAACTTGGAAGGTTGTGCACGACGTCAGAATCAGAATCTTTATTTGTACGTGTGCATGTTGAACTTCTTTCGCGTCGTACATGGCCAACTGTGCTAATTGGAGGTGCGGGGGAAGGATAATAAATAACCATAAAAAGCAGTTCTAAAGAAATTCGTTTTCAATCTAAGTTACAGTGGCACAGCTCAGCTTCTGCAGTGGAAAAACAAGCTGGTGCCTCCTGATCCGAGCCGGGCTGACACGGCCCAGCCCGGCTCGGATGCCGAGTGGGGGGAAACAAATAATAGGAGTAACAATACTAATAGGGTTTTTCCCCTTTTTTCTGGCAACAAAACTGACACCTTTTGCAAGGAATCATGCTTACATTAACCACAATACTTGCAGTCAAATGCAAACAAAAAACAATACTCTGATAATTTATGCATTGTCTTTGAAACTGATTGGTCCACACCAGAGACAGCTTTCTTTGGAGCCTAGTCTCATACGGTGTTCGACCAGATGACGCCAAAAGACGCACAGTTCAAAGACAACGCACTACCAGAGTAATGAGAGCTCGGGGTGAGCAGCTACATCGTTTTGTTGCCAGAAAAAAGGCGAAAAACCCTACGAGTATATTTCGATTTAAAGCTTTCGTGACTGCAGGGATTCATCTTCTTGGTTCTTTCGGTAAAGTCACGTAGAAGGGAAGTAATAAAATAATAAAACATAATAAAATAAAATAATTCTCACGACGTTTCGGCCACAACACCTGAAGACGGCTGCTTGCGTTGTGGCCGAAACGTCGTGAGAATTATTTATTTATTTTATTATTATTATTTTATTACTTCCCTTCAACGTGACTTTACCGAAAGAACCAAGAAGACCTATGAGTATATTTTGGTTACTGGCAAAGGAGGTCCCATAAAGGTGTAACAATCTTCTCCACCGACTCACGATCCGCCCCACACCCCCCCCCCAACCGTGCTCACCTGCCGCAGGTGGCGTAGAGAGTGGAATACGGGCGCGTCACACCACGTCTCGCTGCTCCCTCCTCTGCTCCCCCACGCTCCCCCGTCTCCCACCGCGGAGCGCGAGACGCCGTCGGCGAGGACGGGCAGCGGAGCGGACTCGGCTCCTTCCGAACCGGAAGCCGCGTCTTGCCTCAGCCGCGCCTCCTCTTCGCGCTCTTCAGCGGCCGACCGCGCGGGGGAATCGGGTAGGCAGCGCAAGCGGTAGTGATGATGATGACGACGACAATTGCATTTACTTACGAAGGAAGATGTTAATGGTTCCAGCTGGAATGATGAGTCGATTAAGTTGACCGATTGACTTATAATAACCTATCTTCTTGGTTCTTTCGGTAAAGTCACGTAGAAGGGAAGTAATAAAATAATATAAATAAAACATAATAAAATAATTCTCGGTGAGAATTATTATTATAAAAATAAAACATAATAAAATTCTCAGTGAGAATTGTTATTATAAAAATAAAACATAATAAAATAATTCTCAGTGAGAATTATTATTATAAAAATAAAACATAATAAAATAATTCTCAGTGAGAATTATTATTATGTTTAATTTTTATTATTTTATTACTTCCCTTCTACGTGACTTTACCGAAAGAACCAAGAAGATGAATCCCTGCAGTCACGAAAGCTTTAAATCGAAAAATAATAATCTAGATTTTATAAAGCTCACGAGTATGGATTAAATATAAGCAAAATAGAAAGCTGATCAAACTGTGACTGCTGTTTTCGAGTCTTTTACCTTAATTTTATGTTCTTGCTACCAGCGTCACGTCATGAGACAAAGTATCCGATCAGATCTCTCAACTGCAGTGGACCACTTCACGTCCCAATCCAAGCGGACCTCACAGGGCTACCACTGAGATCATTTCAAGTGAGCGGTGGTCTTGGTTACCAAAAATGTTGAGAACAACTCTCTTAAAGTAAATTATTTTGCTCAATTCCTTGGAATCCAGGAGGAACTTGACAGGTACTATTCTACTTTACCGAGTGTTGACATCCCCAGCGTTTAACAGTACTCTCCTTTTTGCAGTTGGATTGTCAACCAACACCGGGTACAACAACATGTGCACCTATTGTTCTCCTTTAGATAAGCCCACCCCACACAACACGTTCCATTCATATTCATAGGTTTTCGGTAAAGTCACGTAGGTAAAAAATAAAAATTTATAAAAGTAAAATAAAATAAAAATCAGTGATTCACTGTGATTTTTATTTTATTTTACTTTTATTAATTTAAAATTTTTACCTACGTGACTTTACCGAAAACCTAAGAATATGAATCCTTGCAGTCACGAAGGCTTCAAATCTAGAACGTTCCATTCATTGGCTACCACATTCAGATAAGCCCCTCCCCCCTTAACTTGTATTTAAAAGCTTGTCTCTTGGAATTTTGTCTCACTTGATACAGTAAATTCAGCTGTAACGGTCCCACCTGATGACGGAGACTTGTGTTGCCTCCGAAACGTCGTGATTTATTATTTTATTTCTATTATTATTTCTATTCTTTTTATTTTTATTATTTATTCTTACCTATGTGACTTTACCGAAAAAACCTAAGAGCATGAATCATTGCAGTCACGAAAGCTTCAAATCTAGAGTGAACTCGGCGCTGTTGGCGAGTTACCGGCGCGTTGCTCCATCTCCACGAGGGTGTCCTCCGTGGGGGCGCCCTCCAGAAGCTTCTCAGTAAGACGGCTCCCACAAGCCTTCAGTAGCCTGGGTCACGTGACCCACAGAGAGCGTAGAGGGGCGGCAGAAACAGGACGGCAGGGCAGGGGAGGGGATGGTGGGCAAAAGGTGGAGGGGTAAGGGTTGGAGGGTTGATGCGGCACTATGTATGTTGAATGTCTTTCGCATCGTATCTAGCCAACCGTGCTATTCAGAGATACAATATGTAACAGGGTAGGGAAAGAGACAGGAACAGGACAATGATGACGATGGTGATGATGATGATGAGGGCAGCCGGTACCAGGCAAAGGAGGTGTGGAGGTGAGCCCAGAGGTCGTCATCGGCGGTGAGGGAGAGGAGGGAGCGTGCGGCGCTGCCGTTGCGCTGGTGGAGGTAGGAGCCCGGTGTGAACGCCGTGTTGATGCGCAGCGCTCGCTGGGGACATTCGGCCTGCTCCGAGTCAAACACCTGCACGGCGACACACAGGGCAACGCTCAACAACCAACTCACGCGCGCGTGTCATTATTATTATTCTTAGGTTTTTCGGTAAAGTCACGTAGGTAAAAAATTCAAATTAATAAAAGCAAAATAAATGTTTTTTATTTTTTTACTTTTATTAATTTAAATTTTTTACCTACGTGACTTTACCGAAAAAACCTAAGAATATGAATCCTTGCAGTCACGAAAGCTTCAAATCTAGAATTATTATTACTTCCTCACGACTCTTTTTTTTCAGTAGGGTCCTGCTGAGATTATTATAGTTAAGGCCAATGAATGCTGAGTAGCAACTGCTTTTTTGTGTTTAGTGTGTTGTCCTTCCCTGCACCTCCGAATTGCACATGCATACATACAACACAAAGATCCCCCATATAACTTTGACAGACTGTTGGGGCAAGTGCTGTTAGTGAGCACCCATGGAGGCGGGCACGGCACACGAGGTTAGTGGGTGACCAGCACCAAGCCTGGCAACATACATACAACAACCGCCATTCGCCACTCAGTGGCGGTGACGTCACCACGGCGCTTGTGCCAGGCTATGTGCACGTTAAGGCCATGTAAAGTGTTGAATGCCCACTGGCAGGAGGTCACTGGGCAGACCCAGGAGCTATGGGTCGACCGACTGAGATGACTGGCCGATTGCACCACCTGTGCCCCCTACTGTGCCAACTTGCTGTATTTTAGCCGCCCGGTGCTCCGCTCGTCTTTGTGAGCGTCGCATACACACACGCGAGCGCACACACTTCATCATATAACCCCCTCCCCCCGTTCCATCCCCCTAGCGCGCATCACTGCTGGTCGCCCCACCCTCATGGCCTTGCTTTGTAGGTCGTCGATGAAGGCCTTGAGCTTGGCGAGCAGGAAGGGCCAGGAGTTGATGAGGTAGATGCGGTCCATGGTGACCACGATGAAGCTGTACCAGCGCTGGAAGCCGCGCGCCAGGCTGTCCTTGATGAAGAACGTGTGGCTGAACACGTAGCCCTGCTGCTCGTCGCCAAAGAGGATGGGGCCCTCGCGACCCGGACACACCTGCGACGGTCGCAAAGACAGCAGCGACAAAGACGTCGTGAGCCACCTTCCGACTCACTGCTGGATGAAGGCCTCACCCTTCGGCGTACCTGGAGTCGCAGAAGCAAATACAAACAATACGTTTTCAACAATACGTCATCACGAGACACGATCTATCCGCTGCTGGATGACGGCCTCCTCCTCAGCATACCTTCGCTGGTGATATAAAACAAATTACAGCCATGGTCTGTCCACTGCTGCATAAACTGTCCCCCTTCATCACGGTCATTCTCATCGTGAACCATGGTCTATATATATAGAGCTGAACTAAGGCCCTCGCAAGCCACCACAATCCCTTGTGGCCAGGCCTCGCCGCAATCTGTCCCGCACCTGCCCACAACCCGACCACACCCTGATCCTACGACTCCACCCTGATCTCACCATGACCTCCACCCCATTCCCCCACGCTCCCCGTGACCCCACCGTGACCCCTCGCTGACCTCGCAGCTGAGGCTGCGCACGCAGGCCTGGCGAACGATGCTGAACACCTCAGAGCGCGTCGGGTGCTGGTGGCTCACGTAGCTGATGTTTGCTTCGCGGTCGCGACTCACAAAGCCGGGGTGGCCCGCGGCCAGTGAGCGGCAGCCCTGGGGAGTCAACGTGGGGGGGCGGAGTCAGAAGGGTGAGCATGGGAGGGGCGTCAGAAGTTGGAATGGGGTCACAACAGGGGTAGGCTTGGAAGAGGGGCTTAGAAAGGTCAGCACGGGGTTAGCACAGGGTTCAGTACAGGGGGGGGGGTCACAGGGGTCGGAGGGGAAGGGGTCGCAGGAGTCTTTAAAAATCGAAATATCGTGGTTGTAAAAGCGCAACAGAAACCGATCTTCTTGGTTCTTTCGGTAAAGTCACGTAGAATGGAAATAATAAAATAATAAAAATAAAACTCTGTCTACTCGACAGACCTGCTCTCCACCTGAGGACAGCTGCTTGCGTTGTGGCCGAAACGTCGTGAGAATTATTTTATTATGTTTTATTTTTATTATTTTATTATTTCCATTCTACGTGACGACTTTACCGAAAGAACCAAGAAGATGAATCCCTGCAGTCACGAAAGCTTTAAATCGAAAAGAAACCGATCTGCCCGTCCCACGACAGCCACACCTCGCACATTTCCGAGGTCATCGGGCCGTAGCTGGCACTGAGACCGGCGTCCGACTCGGAAAGGCTCGACGACGGGCGCGTGCCGCGACCCAGCCCCACCCCACGCTCCATCTCCACGCGGCCGTCACCCCCATCGCCGCCCCGGTGGCAGCCAGACCCAGCCGCCGCGGCCGTCGCCATCGAATTTCGAGCGTCCACCGCTTCACTGCGAGACATCGCGTGCGCCCCACCATCGCCCCCTCCTCCTCCTCCTGCTGATACTCCTCCCGCCGGGCCAAGGTCTCCTCTGGCCGGCGGCCCTGGGAGGCCACACGAGTCGGGGCCGCCCCCAGGGTGCGCCGAGTGCAGCGCCTGGGTGCAAAACAGCGTGCGGGGCCCGTGCAGCTCGCAGAAGTGGCACAGCGCCACGATGGCGTTCATTGTGAAGCGCTGGCTGGGGGCTTCTTAACCGACTGGCGCTAATCACGACGACGATGGACGGACAGACGAACCGATGGAGTCGGAGATGGTGTGGGGTTCAAGTCGCTGTGCCCTAGGAGAGAGACACACACACAAGTAAGCGTTTTTTCCCACTGGCACATACTGGTGTAGTAAGTTGCAGGAGGCTTGGACGACGTAGTTGGAGGCACACATATTTATTAACACCAACGTATTTACAGAGCCGTGGATACACAACACTTGAAGGGGTATCGGCCCCTTCACCCGTCTAACAGGGAGACCCAACGTCTACCCCGGCTAGCCTACTCCCAGGTCCTCCACTACAGAGCTAAGGGAGGCTATCTATCCCAGCCCTGGTCAAGCTGGGATTCCCGGCACCCTGAGTCTCCAGACCGGCTCTTATAAGAACATCAGTTCGGGCTCTCGGGGCCACGCCACCGGCTTTGCCTGGTCGGTCCTGACAAGGACAGCGAGCCAGGGGAGTTCCGGGGCCTACTCTAGCTGGTCTTCAATCTTCGCTGGTTAAAGCTGAACACTCTACCCCGAGCCCTCCGGCTCACCACCTTTTATAGCAATCGGCCCCCAGGGGGGGCCGTGGGGAATGGCAGGTGCGGACGTCGGTGTGAGCACCTTCTCTGCGTACGGCCATAACCACGCCCCTTGTGTCTGTTACCCATCCGTGCCAATACACCTTTACAAATACACCTCTACACTGGCAAGCACAAGCTGGGGAGCATTAGCACGGGTGCTACGGACATCAACAGTGGCCCTTGTGCACTCTGTAGCCGCGAGACATCACCAGCATGGACCAGAAGCAGTCACACTCGACCTGTTGATGTCTAAATGAACACTGCAACGTGGTGTATCATTGGAACCCTCAAGTCGACCCATACCAGAGAAGGAGAAGACTGACACAACCGTGGCGAGGCAGCGTGGGGGGTCGTCACGGTACAAGTGGGTCACCCCCCCCCCCACGCCATTCACCATGCCGAGCACTGCGTTGCGATGTCAGTAACACCGAGGACACAGCAATCAACGCGTCGTTGAAATACACCTTGGCTCGTTCATTGCTTCAGATGTCGGGCAAATCAGGTGCGAGTCTGGATTTCAGTCACCTGCGATTAAGATTGAAAACCCGTTTCCTGAGAACGACTTCCGATTAGCGCTGTTGGCCTCCGTACGGCGCGAAAGAAGTTACCAACGTACACAGGTCGTCGTTTTTTATATTCTTGGATCTTTCGGTAAAGTCCCGTAGACGGGAAATAATAAATTTATAAAAATAAAACACAATAAAATTCTCATGACGTTTCACATGGTTTTTATTTCTTGGTATTTATTTCGTGTTATTTATTTCTTGACGGAGACTTGTGTTGCCTCCGAAACGTCGTGATGTACAATTTTTATTTCTATTATTTTTTATTTGTATTAGTTATTTTTACCTACGTGACTTTCCCGAAAAAAACCTAAGAGTATTTCACATCGTTGTTGATGGCGATTCACAACGACGTTGAGTGCCCCATTACCCTTAGTTGGCCAATCTTATTTGACAGACAACTATTACAGGTTTACCATGTTTAGTTGTTGTCTCCTTGTCACAGGTTGAGTCACAAACCGTACCTCTCCATAACAAAGGCTCACCCTCTTAAGCCTCACCTTACCATATTAATAAAAAGTGTGCTGTATTTGGCCCTTACCCCCCCCCCTTCTCCAACCATTATATAAACGGAGTGGTAGCTCTTTCAATCTCTCATTTACTTGATACAGCTGACGGTTCCACCTGAAGACGGAAGCTTGCGTTGCCTCCGAATCGTCGTGACTTTTATTTTATTTTACTTTTATTAATTTTAATATTTTACCTACGTGACTTTTTCCGGAAAAACCTAAGAATATGAATCCTTGCAGTCACGAAAGCTTCGAATCTAGAATTAATGCCCCATACCCCCTGTACAGTGGGGGTTCTCTCTACAGCGGCCTCTAGTGGAACAAAGCGCTTTACAGCTCTTCGGATTGCTCAAAGGACGAACATTCTGACTTCCCGCCCACGGAGAGCCGTGACGCGAGCGAGGAAACTTTCGCGGCTGACGCTCTCCCCTCCATCACTCCCTCCTCATACCAGCACCGCCACAGGTTTACTACGAATATCGAATTGTTACAATTGTTGTTGGTGCCGTTGAGCAACGTCGTGTTACTGTTACGACTATAACTTGGAGAAGTTAATAGTTCAAATCTAGATGTAATAGTTATCGTTATGATATCATAAACTATGACGATTGTATATTCGCTGGACTCACCATCACGCGCCACCGATGTCCACACAACACAGGATCACGTGGTCTTACCCCCCCACCCGCACCTTTATATTTTGTAGCGCTGATAAGGCTCAGAAGTGCGCTGCTATTGGACAACTGGGCAGCACGTGACCAGTTTCCTACCCCCCCCACCCCCACCTGTTTATTTTTCCCAGTGAGGATAGGCAACGCAGACCCCCCCCCTCCGCCACCCGCCGCCCCTCATCCCCCCCGCCTGAGACGAGCGCTGATTGGACAACGCGGCACCCACGTGGGCGAGTGTGGGGGGCGGGGGGGGTATGAACACCACGGAGTGCGCATGCGTCGCAATATGTTAATTGAGATAGTGACGTAGCGCGGAAGTAATTTGTACTCGATTCCATAATCGATTCCACGACTGCCGTAATCGATTCCCCCTCGTGCCTTTAAGAAAGAAATCGCGCGCCTGAGCGGTGGAATCGATATCGTGAGAGTGAATCGACTACACCGTGTACGCAAAGGGGGAATCGATTCCCTTCACACCACCTTCACGTGTGGAGGTCACGTAGGTCGGCTCGGACTCAAATGAGGCCTGTCTCCCGGTGCGGTGTGTAAAGCGTCAGCAGGCTGCACGGGGAGAGGGGAGGAGAGAGGGTGGGGAAGCGGTGCGTTGTGTAGGCCGCGTCGTGGTGTACACGCCGAGCGAGTGGTGGTGAGCTGTGGTGGGTGGTAGTGGTGGTGGGTGGTGGTGAACTGTGGTGGGTGGTGGTGGTGGGTGGTGGTGGGTGGTGGTGGGCGAGCGATGGAGGCGGCGCGCGTGGTCCGCGCGCTGCTGCGGGAGCTGCGCTTGGCGTCACCCCCGGAGCGGCGCCTCCGAGACGGCCTCGCGTACCGCCACGTGGCGCAGCTGTTCCGCGACAACCAGGCACGGGGCTGAGGCAGTGCACGCGGGACAGTACACACGGGACAGTACACACGAGATGGACAGTACACATGGGACAGTACACGTGGGGCAGTGCACACGATGGGCAGTGCACGTGGGACAGTACACGCGGGACAGTACACGCGAGATGAGCAGTAGACATGATACACTACACACGAGATGGACAGTAAACATGGGACAGTACACACGAGATGGACAGTACACATGGGACAGTACACGCGAGATGGACAGTACACGTGGGACAGTACACACGAGATGTACAGTACACATGATACACTACACACGAGATGGACAGTACACATGAGACAGTACACACGAGATGGACAGTACACATGGGACAGTACACGCGAGATGGACAGTAGACATGGGACAGTACACGCGAGATGGACAGTACACACGAGACAGTACACACGAGATGGACATTACACATGGGACAGTACACGCGGGACAGTACACGCGAGATGGACAGTACACATTGGACAGTACACGCGAGATGGACAGTAAACATGGGACAGTACACACGAGATGGACAGTACACATGGGACAGTACACGCGAGATGGACAGTAGACATGGGACAGTACACGCGAGATGGACAGTACACACGAGACAGTACACACGAGATGGACAGTACACATGGGACAGTACACGCGAGATGGGCAGTACACATGGGACAGTACACACGAGATGGACAGTACACATGAGACAGTACACACGAGATGGACAGTACACATGAGACAGTACACACGAGATGGACAGTACACTTGGGACACTACACACGAGATGGGCAGTACACTTGGGGCAGAGAGTACACATGAGATACAGTACACACGAAATGGACAGTACACATGGGGCAGACCGTACACATGAGATACAGTACACGCGAGATGGGCAGTACACGTGGGACACTACACACGAGATGGACAGTACACATGGGGCAGACAGTACATATGAGACACTACACACGAGATGGACAGTATACGTGGGACGGGCAGTACACACGAGATGGGCAGAGAGCAATATGGCCTGTAAACATGCGACAATACATACGGGCAGTACACATGAGACAGAGTACGTATGAAGCTACGCACGTGACCCAGGACACACGAGATGAACAGTACATAGGGGACAGTACGCACGTGACCGTACGCACAGGACAGACTGCAGTACGTAGGGAGACAGACCGTGCAGGAGACAGTAGAGGTGAGACAACACGGACAAGAGAACATCGCCAGGCAATGGGACAGGCGAAATCAATCGGGACTAATAAATAAACGACTTAAAAAAATTTTTAACGGGTTTATTTTAAAGTGCTATACAAAATATGTATTGCATTAAACGAGCGATTTAATTGCTTATTTGATGGCGATGTTGATACAAAATGCATTGCCTCTGGATCTGAGTGTGGGCAAAGTTTGGGATTGACATTGAGACACGTGGAGCCTGCTTCTTGGCCAAGGCGATTCCAGAGTTTAGGGACCGTGGCGTTTTTGACCACAAATATATATTTCGATTTAAAGCTTTCGTGACTGCAGGGATTCATCTTCTTGGTTCTTTCGGAAAAGTCACGTAGAAGGGAAGTAATGAAATAATAAAAATAAAACATAATAAAATAATTCTCACGATGTTTAGGCTACAACGCAAGCAGCCGTTGTAGCCGAAACGTCGTGAGAATTATTTTATTATGTTTTATTTTTATTATTTTATTACTTCCCTTCTACGTGACTTTACCGAAAGAACCAAGAACACAAATATATAATTAATAAGTCGTCCATACAGAAAGTTAATTGCTTCCAAGGAGCCAATTAATTGATTATTTGATGCCGATTTCGATAAAGGCATGTATTGTCACCGCATCTGAGTACGTGTGCAAAATTAGGGATTGATTGGACGATGGGAAGTGGACGAAATGTAGATTACAAGATTTGACGATTTGACCAGGATACAGGAGTCCAGTTAAGTAAAACCGTTGAAAAAAAAGATTAAACATGCTCGTCAATAGCCGTGCTCTTCTAAATAAAAATATACAATAAGCGACGTTTCAGGCAACGGTCGTTCCTCCTCAATATCGCCAAGTGATTTGTTTTTACAAACAGGACAGAGACATGAGCCGACGCCACTACCGAGACCATAGCTTCCAAAATTCCCATCCAATGCCCGCCATTGGCCACAAAGTGACAAGCACCACGGCGACTGTGCCAGGCCAGGTGCACTTTGAGGCCACGCCAAGTGTCGGAAGGCTCGCCGACAGGAGGCGGTCTCGGGACAGACCCAGGTGCCCGTGTGTCAACCGACCAGAGGTCGCAACCGGGTACCCGATACCCGTACCCTACCCGATACCCGGCTACCCGTACCTGGCCGGGTACGGGTAGCCGTTTGCGACCCTGGTGCGGCCGGGTACGGGTAGGCCGTGAGTCACTGGTGAGTAACCGTTTCAATCTTAACTTTGGAGCTTTCGTGACTGCAGGAATTATTCTTTGGTTCTTTCGGTAAAGTCACGTATAAAGAAAAAAGAATAAATTAAACGTCGTATGCTATTATTTAATTTATTATTTTTTCTTTATACGTGACTTTACCGAAAGAACCAAAGAATGAGTAACCGTTTGTCACTCATTTCAGGTAGGGTACGGGTAGGGAACGGCTACCCGTACCCGGTCGGGTACGGGTACCCATTTGCGACCCTGGTGCGGCCGGGTACGGGTAAGGAATCAAAACCCGTTTGCGACCTCTGCAACCGACTGAGATGACCGGCAGATGCACCAGCTGCTACCCCCTATTCCCATCTACCACAGCACTTCCTGATCACCTGTCGCCGACCCCTCCACTGCACTCCCCCCCCACCCACCTCCTCTGCCCGCCAGGTGACGGAGGAGCAGAAGTGCCGCGCTCGCGAGGAGATGCTGCACCGCGCGACCACTTACCTGTGCCTCCTCCGGAGCACGCGGCAGTACGCGGCGCTGAATCACAAGTACCAGGGCGGAGGGGAGCGCTCCCCCGAGGACGTGGCGCGCCTCGTGGGTCTCAGCATGCCCCCCCGCCATATGCAAGCCCCCCACGGCGAGGGTGGCTTGCCCAAGCTCTGAGGTCCTCTATGTATTCATGTACTATTGGCCAATGAGTGTTTACATCACACGTGCGAGAGGGAAACACTCTATCCCATAAGTTCAGAACAGGTTGAGTCCAACATTTTTTTTCTTTCGATTTAATGCTTACGTGACTGCAGGGATTCATCTTCTTGGTTCTTTCGGTAAAGTCACAGACCTGCTCTCCACCTGAGGACGGCTGCTTGCGTTGTGGCCGAAACGTCGTGAGAATTATTTTATGGTTTATTTTTATTATTTTATTATTTCCATTCTACGTGACTTTAACGAAAGAACCAAGAAGATCCAACATTTTTGCTGTACCGCCATCTCCCAGGGTATTATAGCACAACGTGTGTGCGCGATCCAGTGCAGGATTACAGGCCACACGCATAGCCAACAAGCAACCCTTACTTGACCACTTTCTTCACTGCAGTTTGGTGAAGTGGGATGGGGGTGCGGGGAGGACCGGTGCAATTATCTCACCATTGAAGTTAAGAATAAAATTAAACCACGAGTTGCGTTGGAACTGCGCCGATTGTGGATGTGTGTGCGCGCCCCGCGTCGTCGCGTAACGCTCACCACATCCCGATCTCGTCCCATCTCGGCAGCCGAGCCGAGCAGGATCGAGCCTGGTTAGTACTTGGATAAGGAGAACGGACTACCTGGGTGTGTACCACGTGTTGCAGGCTTGGGCTGTGCGGTGGTGAAACTGTGCGGCGCTTTGAGTGCCCCTCATCTGGTGTGGGTGGCGATGGGTTTACTCCGGGTTCTCCAGTTTCCCCACACACCCCCGAAAGGCTGTAACACTCTCATGAATGGAATGAACCAAACGTCCCAATGTAGCAGGAACCCCCTAGGGCCTAGACCAGGGGTCGGCAACCTACGGCTCCGGAGCCGCATGCGGCTCTTTACGGGCTGCTTCTTGACGATATGTACGTATGTACAGTATGTACTCAGATGCATTGCGGCTCTTGAAATACTGAATTTTGTACCGAATTGGAAAGAAATGGCTCTTCTTGTTATTTTGGTTGCCGACCTCTGGCCTAGACAGAAGACTGAGACTTTACTGGATGAATACATCGAGTTGTGATTATTATGAGTACGAAAGGACGTGACCTGAAGAGTGATACATGGCTACCGTCACACATCCTCGCCTGTTTTCTGCACCGTCACATCTGTGAAACAATAAAATGCTGCCTGGCCTCACAAGGCAACCCGAAGCAAAAAGAGATGTCCTGTCTGTCTCTTGTGTGTAACTGTTGCTAAGGGATTGGTCATCAACAACACGTTCCTTCGGAGTGGGCAGGTAGGAACTTGGTTGGACAGCGCATTCGTGCACGACAGAAAGCTCGCGGTCACGTGACGCACTTCAACCAATCCGGGAGCGTATTACATGTTTGGGAGGGGCTATGCACGACAGACAAATAATCCCTGGTGGGCAGTGTGGAACTGTTGTTCCTACCTGGATAACATTTATTTAGTCACGTGAAGCCCTTTTTAAATCCTTTATATTAAGTTCACTTGCTTGCTAGCTTGCGCGCTTACGACTGTGAAAATATTTGGGTCGTTTTTTAACCCACTTCCCGTGATCCAATCGAGCTGACATTTTGCACACAGACTCGTTGTGCGTGACAATTTATTTTCGTGAAAAAAAATTCCTAAATTTTCCACTTTTTAGGAAAACATTTTTTTCATATTTTATTTAAAATACCAATGTGATAAAAATGAAACTCTTACTCAAGAAAAACAGAAATTAATAATAAAATAAAACCGATGCCACGCATATAAAGGATTTATAGTGAAACACTTTGTTTTTACGGGTAAATTTTTTGCATGACTTGATTGTGACGAGAAGTAGCAATCGTCGACCCCTCTCCTAGCAGCACCCTCCAGACTCGCCGAGGCTTTCCTGGGTAAACAAGCATATTGCTAAATAAATAAAGTCATTGCACATTGATAATTGTTTTTTTACCCTTCTATCTGGCAACAAAACTGACACATTTTTTACAAGGAGTCATGTTGCATAGACCACAATACCTGCAGGCATAATGCAAAAAAAAACATAACTCTGATAATATATGCACTGTCCTTGAAGTTGATTGGTCCACACCCGAGACAGCTTTCCTTAGAGCCTAGTCTCACATGGTGTTGGACCAGATGACGCCAAAAGGCGCACAACTCATAGACAATGCACCATCAGAGTATGAGAGCCCGGGGTAAGCATTTACACCATTGGAACCTCTTGCCAGTAAAAAATATGATAATTGTTTTTTTACCATTTTATCTGGCAACAGGTGTCAGTTTTGTTGCCAGATAAAAGGGTAAAAAAACTTAAGATTTTTTACTGGCAAATGAGATTCCAATGGTGTCATTGCAATTACGATGCACCGGTTGAGAAATTCTATACCTGGCCAATCGACTGCAGTACACCCTGGGAGGATAGAGGCGGCGGGGGAGGGGGATGCTGGGGAGATATAAATTGCCCTTTCAAATGCCGCGCCAGGAGATTGAATCGGTGACCTCTGGACTGTCCTGTGCTACCCAACATGCAACGGCAGAATGTTCTGTAGCATTTCTATTCGCGGCGCTAGGATATCGCGATTTCATTGAAGACACTTTTCGTAATACTTTATTTTCAGTTCGTATAATAACTTAACATCACAGTTATCATGAGAATCAGAACCAGAAGTGTATTTCCCTATGCAAGGGTGACCTTTTCAAGGGTGACTTGGCCAGGATGGTGAAGGCTTGGGTAAGCCTTTATCCAAGCGGTTGATTGATCGTGGCTGATGATGATCTGCTGGATGACACATTTTTAAGGCCCACCAAGCTGTATAGCTCTTTGTTTAGAAGCGACCTGGCTTCTCACAAACGAAGTGACTTAAGTTGAAATGGTTAGCAACAGCCAAATACTCTACGCTAAACGCGTGTTTCTAAACGTGGAGGTAAAAACCCGGGGGGACCCGGAGAAAATTCCACGCGACCACGGGGAGAACATGCAAACTCCAAAATATACAGGATCAAGATATAATCCACGAACTCCTGTATACCAGGCGAGGTAGTTAACATCTCGCCGCCGTGCTGGTCAATGGGGTTTTTTGACCATACTTCACCACGCTGCGATTGGTTCATGCGAGCACTGCCGCCACCGTATTTAGTTTGTTGTCCTTTCCCCGCACCTCCGATAACCACGGTTGGCTACGTCCGGTGCGAAAGAAGTTGAACATGCATACGTTCCACACGGTGCACAGTGGCAAATAAAACAGCATCGATTCTAGCATCGTGACCCCCCAAATCTCAAGCACCACATCGCCGCATATACACGTTACAGCGCGTTTGTCCCATCCACTGCTGGATGAGGCCTCCCCCGCCCACCCCCCCTGCAAGGGTTATCTGACCATTCTTCACCGTCATGGTCAGTGGATGTGCTGGGGGGGGGGGCGGAGTACAGAACAACTATTTTCGAAACGGTGTCCTCCGCTTCCCACGACACCGGCAACACCTGTTGTGCGTGCTCGTCCGTCGTCCAGGCTCAACGCCTGCTTAGCCCCCGACGTCTGGTAGGGGTTCAGGGGTTCAGGGGTTCAGGGGTTCAGGGGTTCGGGCGCATTCCTGGCGATTGGTTCAACGGCGGCTTCATCGTCACGCGCCAGCTCACGACGGATCCTGCGGTCGCTTACGCCGCTGTAAGACCCGCCGCGAAGCAAGGGTGCGGCGAAGAGGGTGTCAACGGCTCGAAGTGAAGAGCGAGAGACTTAAAAGAAGAACCCAACGGATCGGGGCGCAAGCGGCTTAATTGGGGACGTCACACGCGAAGGGCCGAGTGAGCTCGGGAGATGGGAGCAATGAGAATTCGTGTGCGCGCGAGGTGGATCGCAGCGCCGCCACTGGACCGCGAGGGCATGTCAACGGCGTCGAGGGCAGGCCGTCATCCAGCGGTGGATAGACATTGGCCAATGATGATGATGATGATGAAGAAGACCCGGCAAGGATGAGCCGCATTTGAAGAAAACGGATCCAGGGTCTCAGATGCCACGCTTTGAAGTAGAGGGGGGAGAAACTGGATGGGGGGGGGGGGCCGATGTCGTTCCCTGCACCAGGACCCATGGCAAGCACACTCTACCATAGCCTCACGTAGAGATTCATAGACTCGCACAGAGCCTCATCGTCCGGTGGCGCAGCTATCGAGCGTGCAGGTGGTGCAACTGCACCCGGGCCGACGGGCTGGAGTGGGGGCGGGCAGTGTCGCAGGCACTACGCTATGAAGAGGAGGGGAATTATGGAAATTTGGTGGGTGGGATGGGGCATTTAATTTGTGGCACCAGAGCCCATACACCGCTGTGGGGGAGCGGGAGAGACGAGGGGGGGGGGGTGGGCGCTGATAGGCTCAGGGAGTCGGCGCCTGTGGCCCCTGCGTCTTCACGGGCTGCGTGTCCAAGAGGCCGGCCTGCTCAAGGTGGCGCAGGGCGCGGTGAGGCCTGAACGCCACGCGCAGGCCGCACCGCGACTCTAGCCAGCGCTCCACCTCCAGGGACACGGCCGCCGGGGACACCGACGACCCTGCTGGGGCAAAGCGGGGGGGAGGTGGGGGGGGTTGCAGGGGTGGGGGTGCAGGGGGGTGGCGGGCGACAAGGGAGGGTGAAAATATAAACTAAAGTATAAAAACTCGAAACTATTTTTATTTTCATAATTGTTTTTTTTTACCCTTCTATCTGGCAACAAAACTGACATGTTTGCATAGACCACAATACCTGCAGTCATAATGCAAACAACAAAAAAACCATAACTCTGATAATGTATGCACTGTTATCAGAGTTATGTTTTTTTTTGCATTATGACTGCAGGTATTGTGGTCTATGCAAACATGACTCCTTGTAAAAAAAGGTGTCAGTTTTGTTGCCAGATAGAAGGGTAAAAAACCAATCATCATATTTTTTACTGGCAAATGAGGTTCCAATGGTATTTTTATTTTACCAAGTGTGGCCCCACTGAGCTGTATGTAGCTCTTTTTTTAGAAGCAACATGGCCACAAATGATGGCTCAACGAAGTGGTTTATCATCGTGTGGATATTCAAAGCAGCCAAATACTAGAAACGCACGTTGTTTCTAAACGTGGAGGGGAAAATCGGAGGACCTCGAGAGAAATCCACACAATCACGGGGAGAGAAAGACGTGCAAATTCCAAATATACAGCAGGCGTCAGGATCGGGATCGAACCCACAACCTCCTGTATAGCAGGCGAGGTAGTTGACATCTCGCTACCGTAGAAGAGGATGCATGCATGGAGGGGGGGAGGTCACGTGGGCAAGAGGGGAGGCACAGAGATTGAAGGAGACACACAAGACGGGACATTAAGGAACAGGGAGGATAAACGGGGACACACGGGGACGTGAGGTGACTACCTCAACTGTGCATCTGGCTCACCCCTTCACCTCTCGCCTATAAACCGAACTCTCAGCGAACTGGACTCGTCTCGATTTGAAGCTTTCGTGACTGCAAGGATTCATACTCTTAGGTTTTTTTTCGGTAAAGTCACGTAGGTAAAAAGTAATAAAATTAAAAAATTAAAAATTTTTAATAAATCAATTTAATTGATTTATTTTTAAATCAATTTAATTGATTTATTTTCATTTATTATTATTTTTTACCTACGTGACTTTACCGAAAAAACCTAAGAGTATGAATCCTTGCAGTCACGAAAGCTTCAAATCGAGATTTATTTTAAATCGATTTAATTGATTTATTTTCATTTATTATTATTTTATTTTTATTATTTGACTTCACAGAAAAAACCTAGGAGTATGGACTTTGTCTCCCCCCGCGCCGGCTTGGCTGCCCGATGCCCGTTCACCACGACCAAATGACCCTCAAACTCTCACACGGCCTCCTGCTATGCTCAGCGCTCACCTCACCCGTCCTCCCTCCGGATGAATCTCGCAGGCGGTGCAACTGCCACCAGTCCCCCCACCCTAACTCCCCCCCCCCCCCCCCACCGCCGTGTTGCCCCTCACCTTGCGCTCCACCGCCTCCCGCCATGCGCAGGATGGCGGCGCGGGCGAGCAGCACGTCCTTGCAGTGCTCGTGCAGGGCGCGCCGCGCCAGCGCAGTGACGAGGGCGCCGTTGTTGGCCGTGCCCTTGTAGTAGAGCATGCGCGCCAGCCCCAGCGTGTAGCGCGCGCGCCGCCGCCGGTACGCGGACAGCGTGCGCGCGCCCAGCAGCAGCGAGAACAGGGCCAGCACCAGCATCAGCTGCACCTGCGGCGGCGTCAACGGTCGAACGAATCTTTTTGGATTTTTTGCGTTTGCAGCGCCGGGGCGCCAGCGCACTGCCGCCGAGTGCCTTACCGAGAGGCGATTCGGCGAAGTTGTAAACAAGGCGTATATTTTTTGCCAGGTCGAAAATATTCTCCCCTATAGTACCCGGTTAGTGATGCATAGGTGATCGCGCGTCTCCCCGCGCATCTCCCCACGCGTCCCCCGTGTCTCCCCGTGCGTCCCCCCACGCGTCCCCCCACGCGTCCCCCCACGCGTCCCCCCACGCGTCTCCCCACCCCATGTGTCCCCCCACGTGTCCCCCCACGCGTCCCCCCACGCGTCCCCCCGCGTGTCCCCCCGCGTGTCCCCCCGCGCATAACCCGTGTCTCCCTGTGCGTCCCCCCGCGCGTCTCCCCGATGCGCGCGCGTGCGCCCCCCGCGTCGCCGCAACCTTGAGGTCGGTCATGATGACCATGTAGACGTTGACGAACACGGCGAGGCCGCCGACGGCCAGCGTGCCGTTGACCAGCGTCTTGTCCAGCGTGGACATGTGCACCCGCACCTCGGGCAGCGTCAGCTCAAGCGCCGTCCATGGCATGTCTGTGGGGAGGGGGGGTGGGGGGTAGGGGGGCGGGGTCAGGGTGGGGGGGAGGGGAATAGTGGGGGGGGGGGGGGGAAAGGGTGAGGTCGGGTGTGGCAGGTAGTGGAGTGGTCAGCGCACTGCGCTGTGAACCCGGCGACCAGAGTTCAATTCCCACTCGTGGTCAACATCGGTGACTAATGTCTGAATCGGTGCTGGGCCTCCCCTCCCTAGGTCGGCTGAGCCTTAAATGAGTACCTGGTGCGGTGTGTAAACATCAGCGTTGGGGTTCGGTGATAATGAGATATGCTTAGTTTGCCTCTCGCTTTTTCAAAATACACATGCAAAGTTTTCGTAAATAAAAATGTTATTCAGCATATCGGTGAAGTATATCTTAATATTTTCCCACTGAGCTTAGTAGAAAATGTGTACGAATATAATCCACGTGTTGTGTTTAAATGCCGCTTGCCAACTCAGATTTGAAAGCGTCCATGCGTTCGTCCGTAACGCGGTCGGGGCGAGGGGGTTGGTTTACGACGACTCTCATCAAGTTTATCGGATATAAATAAAATCTCAAGTTGCCAGCTGCCCCGCATCACTGCCGCCCAATTGTGCCATCCTCAGGGGCCGCGGGCCGAGTGAAATGAAGCAGCGGCTTGCGCTTGGCCCAAGGCAGAGGTCGCAACCGGGTACCCGATACCCGTACCCTACCCGATATCCGGCTACTCGTACCCGGCCTGGTGCGGCCGGGTACGGGTAGACCGTGAGTCACTGGTGAGTAACCGTTTGTCACTCATTTCCCAACGTCTTGTCTCTTCTCACAATTCAAGTTCCTAGAATCAACCCACCCGCGCCTGCAACATGGCTTCATCCCAGAGGTCGCAATCGGGTACCCGATACCCGTACCCTACCCGTACCCAGCCGGGTGCGGGTAGGGTACGGGTACGGCCGGGTACGGGTACCCGTTTGCGACCCTGGTGCGGCCGGGTACGGGTACGGGTAAGGAATCAAAACCCGTTTGCGACCTCTGACCCAAAGCCTGCTCGGTGCCCCACTCCTCCTCTGTGTTCTTCCCAAAGTTGACTCTCACCTTTGAAGGCCTTGAGCATCAGGCGCCCGCCCTTCAACCGCGCCGCGACAAGGACGCGCGTGAAGATGCGTCTGGGCACACAGGGGTGGACGGGGAGGCGCGGAGGGCACGGGCGAGACGATTCGTCGCACCGTCACTCGCAGCAGACGTGAATCGTAGCGTCACAGCTCACACACGTCAGTAGGCTGATCGCACCGTCAATATCATCATCGTCGTCGTCACTCGCAGCGTCAGCATTCATAGCGAACGGCGTCACTCACCGATATTGTCATCACTCACGACAACATCGCTCACAGCATGCAGCAGCAGCATCACAAATAATGATCATACTGTTTGGTTTTTTCGGTAAAGTCACGAAGGTAAAAAATCAAATCAAATAAATGAAAACAACAGCTAAGTTGTCCCCACCTGAAGAAGGACGCTTGTGTTGCGCCCGAAACGTCGTGATTTAATTTAGTTGTTTTCATTTATTTGATTTGATTTTTTACCTCCGTGACTTTACCGAAAAAAACAGAGTATGAATCCTTGCAGTCACGAAAGCTTCAAATCTAGAAATAATGATAACTCGGAGCAACATCGCTCACCGCATACGGCATCATCACAAATATCGCAAAGACTTCGCTCGCTACAGCATCGTCACCAAGACTGTCATCGCTCAGAGCATCAACGTGAATGATAACACATCCCACATCACCTTCATTTAATTTGTTAAACATCGAGGCAAATTGGCGATGCAGGCTGGTGGGGCCATTTGGTTGGTGGTGGTTGATGGTGGTTGATATCAGTGGTGGTTGACGGTGGTTGATATCAGCGGTGGGTGATGGTGGTTGATATCAGTGGTGATTGATGGTGGTTGATATCAGTGGTGGGTGATGGTGGTTGATATCAGCGGTGGTTGACGCTCGTGGTAGTTCATAGCGGCTGACGTTCTTGGCAGTTGACAGTGAGTGGTTGTAGTTGCCTTTGCTACTAGTTGCTCGGTGTTGATGGTTGTTACCGGTTGCTAGTTGCTGCTGGTTGCTAGTTGCTGCTGGTTGCTAGTTGCCGATGCTGCTGGCGGCCGCTCGTTGCTGCTGGTTGTTGCTCGTTGCTGATTGCCGACGCTGGTGGCGGCGTTTCGTCCGCCGGTGCGAGAGAGTCACACGCGCGGACGAGGCCTCACCTCTCGGGCCACGGGTCCGACGCGCGCGTCCACGGTATCCAGGACATCCACCTCCTGCCGTGCGTCCTCCAGCGCTCCGCGGCACGCGACGTGCGACTTCCGATCGCCCAGAAGGCCACCACCTCGTAGCGGTCCAGGTTCACGGACACCTGCTCTCACAGGAAGGCCACCTCGCTGCATCACCAGGGCAGCGCACGCGAGACGGCGCAAGGTAAAGGCAGAGACGGCACACGGCACAGATGGGGACGGCGTGCGTCATCGTCGTCGACAAACGGTAACAGGCTTTCTGACCCCCCCGTGCCCCGACCGGAAATCTGTGGGAAAAAAAGAGCCTCATAGCTCATGGGATTTCTCCAGGATATATAAAGATTCTGATTCCGAGGCAGTCCACACGCCGGCGGTGCACATCGGACGGGCGGAGGGAGAAGATGGGGAGAGGGAGATTGGGAGAGGGAGATTGGGAGGGGGATGATAGAGTCGGGTTTCTGATTTTTAGCTCGGTCCAAGATAAACATTTATTTGTATGCGTCCGAAAGAACGATGTCACACGTCAGCTCGATGTCACACGTCAGCTCGCGCGCAGATGCTGGGTGGAATTGTCGCGTTGCGGGATCGTGGGGGGTGGGCGGCGGCGGCGGCGGTGGCTTCATCGTTTATCTTTTTGAAGAGCATAACGGCTGACCGATCGCGCGGGAGGAAAGATGTCAACAAGAAGGTGCTTCTCCCACCGCCCGCACACTCGATAGCTACACCGCTGGCGTCGCAGCGCGAACTTGCGTGGCAAATCTGTATGTATGCTGAACTTCTTTCGCACCGTACGTAGCCAACCATGCTCACTGGAGGTGCAGGGGGGAGGAAAACAAACTAAAAACTGTTTAACACCAATTAAGTGCTTTTTTCGGGTTACGGCACGTAAATATAAATGTGTCGTTAAACCCGTCACCACCCGACACAACCAATTAGCAAGGTTTGTCACGTGAACAAAACGTGCCATTCAGTTACTAGTTCAGCACACCGGTGTTTGAGAGTAAACCAACAATATTTGCAATATTGGAGTACGATGTTTCGTCAGTAATTAGAACCAGCCACATCAGGCGTGACAAACCTTACTAATTAGCTGTGTCGGGTGGTGGCGGGTGTAACGACACATTTATGTTTACGAGATCTAACCCCAAAAAAAAAAAACGTCTTATGGAAAATAAAATCTGGCAACCCGAGTTTAATTCCCGGCCACGGCTAATGTCAGTGGCGGCAGTATCTCAACTGGTCGATCCGCGGAGGGGAGGGAGGGGGGGGCGGAGGGGGCCAGAGGAATTTTCACATACGCATGACCACGTCCTCTCCGTAACTAATCCGTAGCACATGACTCTCACATGGACGGACAGGCACGCCGTGACACACACACAGAGTGAGGAGGGGAGAGTGGGGGGGGGGGGGGGGGGTTAGTAGAGGAGGCTTGGGGAAGGAGTTGTCATCGGTAGTGAAGTCTGGACCACTCCGGTTTGCCTGTGTGTGGCTGTTTGGGGAGCGGCGTTGTAAGCGGTTTCGCTACTTCGCGACGGAGACCCGAGTTCAACTCCTGCCCGTGGTAAACACCGGTGGCGCAGTCGTACAGTAACTGAACTCATCCTGCACCCCCCCGTAGGTGAGTACACTCCGCCTCGAATGAGTCCCCGGTGCGGCGTGTAAAGCATCAGCACTTGCGGATACGAAGGCGGCTGGGTGTCGTGCTGGCCACACCACCCCCGTGTGTGCGTCTCCCGTGTCCCAAGTAGGTGCTCGCAGACAGGACTTTGCGACCGACAGTCTCTCGGGGCTACATCGGACGGCGGGATACCGTTTGGGCAGATCTTGGAGATCGCGTTATCTTCTGTGCAGCAGCTACGCACTCCGACGGAGGGTAGAAAGCAAGCGGCATCCCCCTGGCGATGGGATCTTGATCGCGGAGATGGTGTGAGGGCCGGTAGCAAGAGCTGGAGGACCTCTTCTCAAGGCGGTTCGACCCCAGAGCCTCAACTCTGAGACCCAGCCCCGAGCCACTGCCGGCATCGTCCGTTGGGTACGGGAAGGATGAGGCTGCCATGGAGAAGTCTCTTCCTGCCTCCCTCCGCCTTCGACACGGAGGAGCGCCAACCGCTGCTGTCGACAACCGCTCAGGTGAGCTCAGGTGTGGTGGGAGGACAACAGACTAGGGTCACTCGTTCTGTCTAAACTAAAACTAGAAAATAATAATAGGGTTTTCCCCCTTTTTTATGGCAACAAAACTGAAACCTTTTTACAAGGAATCGTGTCTGCGTTAACCACAATACTTGTGGTCAAAATGCAAACAAAAAACACACACTGATGATATATGCATTGTCCTTGAAACTGATTGGTCCACACCAGAGGCGGCTTTTGGCGTCCTCTGGTCTCGCACCAATTGAGACGAGGCTCAAAAGAAAGCCGTCTCTGGTGTGGACCAATCAGTTTCAAGGACAATGCATAGATTATCAGAGCATGGTTTTTTTTGCATTTTGACCGCAAGTATTGTAGTTAATGCACACACGATTCCTTGTAAAAAGGTTTCAGTTTTGTTGCCAGAAAAAATGGGAAAACCCCTATTATAATATTTTGGTACTGGCAAAGAAGGTCTAATGATAAAACGATGAACAATGATTTATTTTAGCAGGTAAGGCCCACTGGGCTATATAGCTGTTTCTCAGAAGCGACCTGGCTACCACAAATGATAGCCCAACGGAGTGGCTTTTGTGTAAATTTATAGCAGCCAAATACCTACGTTGATTCTAAATGATTAGGTAAAACCCGAAAGACCTGGAAGAAAAATCCACGCAACCACGGGCGGAAAAATGCAAAATCCTAAATATATAGACGCCAGGGTCGGGATCGAACCCACGACCTCCTGCATACCAGGCGAGGTAGTTCAACATCTCCTAGCCACCGTGATGATGATGAGAGAGACGTAAACTCCAAATATACAGCAGGCGTCAGGGTCGGGATCGAACCCATGACCTCCTGTATACCAGGCGAGGTAATTAACATATCCTAGCCACCGTGATGATGATGAGAGAGAGACGCAAACTCCAAATATACAGCAGCAGGCGTCAGGGTCGGGATCGAACCGACGACCTCCTGTATAACAGGTGAGGTAGTTAACATCTCCTAGCCACTGGGGGCAGCACGGTGGCTAGGAGATCATCAGGGAGCACGGCCGTGAGGAAACATGGGCCACAACCGTCATAATGTGTGTGTGTGTTTTTGTCTCTATGAAGACATTTACGATATTAATATCATCGTAGTGCGGGAGGGCTGCTGGTGTCCGTGAAGAACTGCGGGGAGCAGGGAACAACTTCACGGATCATGCCTGCAAACTTCAGAATCAGAACCTTTATCAGAATCAGAATTATTTCGATGGGAGGAGGAATCCGATGAGCTATGAAGCTCTTCTAGATTTGAAGCTTTCGTGACTGCAAGGATCCATATTCTTAGGTTATTTCGGTAAAGTCACGTAGGTTAAAAATTTAAATTATTAAAAGTAAAATAAAAATCACGACGTTTCGGAGGCAACACAAGACGGAAGCTTGTGTTGCCTCCGAAACGTGATTTGTATTTTATTTTACTTTAATTAATTATAAATTTTTACCTACGTGACTTTACCGAAAAAACCTAAGAATATGAAGCTCTTTTTCTCCAGATGTCCAGTGTGGGCGAGTCTGGTGATACATAGTGTGAGCAACAGCACCAGGGGGATAAGGAGGGACACTTTTTGGCAACGCTTCTATCGATTCGGCCGGTTTTCAATTGGGTGAGATCCCTCCTCGCAACGCAATTTCAAGGTGAAGTTGCGTTCATATTGGGCGATCTTTACTAAAGTTATCACGTGCCGCCCACCCCGTCATAGATAGATATACAGACGGACAGGTGAATGAATGGGGAGAGCCGATGCGTTGATGCATACGAGCCTTCGTTGGAAAGTGTAAAATGAAAACCCATGAATTGTATTTGTACAATTCTGTTATAGAATCCGTGAGAAAGAATTAACATATATTTTACTGGGGTATGTCGACTAACAAAATAATATTTGGCACCCTATGCTTGGCCGATAACATTTAAATGTACTAAAAAACCTGGTCATCAATCGATTAAGTAACAAAGAAGAAAAATCATGCATTCACATGGCTTCCTTAATGCTTTCCAACGTGCCTTTGTGCTTGGATGCATCTCATTAGCGATTGGAATGTTACGTATTAAGCCGCCTCGGCCGCTATATACCACGAATGCGCTGGTTATTCTGCACATATCTTTTGGACAACCCTTTGATCAACGTGGCCGATTTTCCATCGCCTATGTCCCTGATCGCAACTCAACCTTACGCCAAAGTTTCCTCCGCATCGGATCACGCCTGCAAGAGTTGTCGCGCCGTGCCGCCACGCCGCGACCCGTTACAGGCGGACAGAGCCAACGCATTCACGCTCACCGACCTTGGTCAGTTGGTAAGCGATGCAAAACCTAAATCACTGGCAATTAGCTGGGAGAAGAAGCGGCCGATGTGTCCGACCCAACAGATGCACGTCGGGACTCAATGGACAATCGCCACTACGCACTCGGACATCGAACTACTCGGGCGCGAGTTGGGCTCCAGGACCGGCTGACGAGCAGTCGGGGAGAGGGAGAAAGTGGCGTGCAGTGGGTGCGGTGGCGGTGAACATGAGATGCGAGTGTAGCGGGTGATGGGCGGGAAGGGGGGTGGTAGTGACCGCAGCCTTCTGCCTTCGTCATCCTCTCACCCGCCACCCCCCTACCGGCACCCTCGCATGCGGCTCTCCCTGGGTGGACCTACGGAGCTGCTGGCCGGTCGCTCCTCCCATCCCTGCCCAGACTGACAAAGGGCCGGAGCCCCTTTGCGTTGCTCAGACCACTCGCACCCGCAGCCTTAAGAATGCATTGTGGTTCACGGGACGAGGGGGCAGGGGGGAGAGAGGGCCGGGGGGTGGGGGGAGAGACAGACGCGGACGTCCGAGTTGTGTGCCGTGACAGCCAGCTGCGGTGCCGGTGGTCATGACGGCCAGCCGAGTCCTACGGTGGTCATTACCCCGACTGCCCATTGACATATATCAGAGGTCGCAACCGGGTACCCGATACCCGTACCGTACCCGATACCCGGCTACCCATACCCGGCCGGGTACGGGTACCCGTTTGCGACCCTGGTGCGGCCGGGTACGGGTAAGGAATCAAAACCCGTTTGCGACCTCTGCCATATATCCACACGTCGCCGTATCGCAGAGTGAAAGTCGCGGCGATTTCCTGCTCGAGTGAGACCCGAGACGGTGCTCCGATCGCCCTTGCGGCCACGTGGCAGCCAATTGTGGAAATTGCTTCATCGGCTGCCACAAGCACCTACCAAGACAAAAATCCCGCGTGCTGCCTTCACAGACTGTTGGGGCAAGTGCTGTTAGCGGGTAGCACCTGTGAAGGCCGGCACGGCACACGAGGGGGTGGGTGGCCAGCACCACGTTGTTTTATACATCGCACCAGGTTCTCATTTGAGGCTGAGTCAACCTAGGAGAGGCCCAGGACCTATTCAGAAAAATCGTCACCGGTGTTGTCCGTGAGCGGAAATCGATCTCTGATCGCCGGGTTCGGAGCGCGGAGTGCAAACCGCTGCACGACCGCTCCCCACAACATCACCTCCCACCACCACCAAAACCACCACCACCACCAAAACCACCAAAACCACTACCACCCATAACCAGCCACCAGCAGCAACAGTGGGAGCGCGTCTCTTGAGAGTGCCTCTGTTAGATTCATTTGACTGGGCGTGTTGCCACTGCCAGTCTCTTGCAACTGGGAGTGTCTCCTCCGTCTGTGGTAATGAACGCCAACACCCCCCAACCCCTTCACGTCGCTTCCCTCCTTTGTGCGACGCTCCCCGCTGCACCGAGTCTGCCTCAATGAGTCGCTGGGGGCATCGCCCACGGAATGCTAAGTGACCCGTCCCCCCCCCCAACACCAGACTCAATGGCTCGCATATTAAGGAGGTAACTTTATGAAAGTGCACCCAACGGGGATCGCTTTTGCAAAGTGCACCCAAGTGTTAAACATTCGCAGTGCTGGGTCTCATCGTTCAGATTCGCAGCGATAACCACGTCGCTTCATTTCTCACCGAGACTAAGCTTGGCCACAGCCACTGCGAGACGTGTACTGGATGTGGTGTGCCGGGTGCGGACATAGTTTGACTTCCCCAACGATCACTCGTACACCACCACCACTATCACCATTATCACGACCAAAAACACCACCACCACCATGATCACTATCCAATCACAATCATCACCACGACCACCACAGCCCATCAACACAATCACCACCAAAATCCCTCCTATCAGCATTACCACCACTACCACCACCACGCGCACTTCCAACACCCCCATCACCACTATTTCCTTGTCCCCTACCACCACCACTGTCTCCACCACACCCACCACCACCCCCATCACCACTGTCACCACCACCACCCCCACCACCACCACCCCCACCGTCACCACCACCCCCACCACCACCCCCACCACCACCCCCAACCACCACTGTCACCACCACCACCTCTTTCAGTCACTGCCACCTCCTCCCCCATCACCACCCCCACCGCCACCCTTTCACTCCCATGCTCCGTGAAAGAGTATCTTATATTCTTCTGTTGTAACTGCTGCTTCTGCTGCTGCCGCTGCTGCTGCTGCTGCGGGAGTGTTCGTGAGGACATCGGCGGTGCTTCGACCGGCCTCCTCGGGTGTCCGCTCCGTCGCTTTGTGGCCACGGTCCCGCTTGAACGTGGGGGCACTTTCCATCTCAATGGGCTCTCGCCGGGCCTGAATAACGAGCACAGTTTCTACCCTGCTGCTGCTGCTGCAGCCTCTGCTCCTGCTTCGGGCTCTATAGTTCTTGCTGTTGCTGCTGCTGCTGCAACTGGTTTTTGATCAAGCTGCTGTTTGCGTAACTGCTGACGCTTCCATAACCGCTGATGCTGCTTCTTTAACTGCTGCTTCTCCTGCTGCCGTTTCGATAACTGCGGTTGCTTTTTCTACCGGTGCAGGTTCTATAACTGCTTTTGCCACTGCTCCTCTGCTCCTTCGATACAACTGCTTCTGTTGCTTCAACAAGTGCCCGTGAAGCCTCTGACGCTTTGACAGTTACCACTGCTATTTCTGGAAGTGCTTCCGCTGCTTCAATACAAACGCTTCTGTCAATGTTGCCGCTGCTGCTTCTCTGCTCCTCGAACTGATTCTGCTGCTTGTGCCGGAGGTCAGCATGCGCCTCGCCGCGCCCCGCACGGAGCCGCCGGCGATTGTCGCTTCCCCGACCGGTGCCGCCGTAGCTCGAAGCTAGCGATCCCCGTTCCCCACCTCTCTTCCCTCCTCCTCCTGGGGGTCCCAGCGGCAGCCGGGCCCGTCCCGGTGCCCCCCACCCTGCGCCGGGCGCCCCCCACGATGAGCAGATGCCGGTCGAGAGGTCGCCTCGCATTGTGCTGCCGGGTCTGCAGGTCTCCGCTGCTCAGCAACGCGAGGCCAAGGGGCGGCCCGAGGGTTCCGCGGAGGATGTCACGGAGGTCGGAGAGGTCGAAGAGGACAGGCCGGCTGGGCAGGTCGCCCCCTTGAGCCTCGCGGCGCGGTGGGTCGCGGTTAGAGTCCGGCTCCGCACTTGGTTCGCACTCGGGCGCTCCAAAGCGCGGGAGCACCAGCACCATCGGCGGCATCAGCAGCAGCATCAGCAGCAGCAGCAGCAGCAGCAGCAGGGCCCCGGCCAACGTCTACACTCTCTACCGCAGCACCGGTATCACCGGCATCACCAGCGGCACCACCGGCGCGGCGCTCCCCGCGTCAACCTCTGCGCCAAGTACTCGCTCTTCTGCTCGCAGTTCTTCGTGGCGGCGCTCAGCTGCCTGACGCTCGCCGTGTCGCTGTGGGGACTCGCGGACAAGGAGCGATTCTCCTCCTCGGAAGGTGCCGACGGTGGCGCCGCGCTGCTCCCCGCCGACCCGCTGCTCATCCCGCTGCTCGCCGGCGCCGGCTCGGCCGCGCTGGCGGCCCTGGGCTGCGCGGGGTCGCTCCGGGAGAGGCCCCCGCTGCTCCGGGCTTTCGCGGCCGGGCTCGGGGCGCTGGTGTGCGCCGAGGCCGTGGGGGCGCTGGCGGCGTACGGGGCGAGGGAGAGGGTCGGCGAGGCGCTGGCGCGAGGGGTGGCAAGGGGGGTGGAGCGCTACCGGGACGACCCGGACGTGAGGTTCATCGTGGACGAGCTGCAGCGCGGCCTGCGCTGCTGCGGCGCTGCATCGTACCGCGACTGGGAGAGGAATGTGTGAGTGGTGGGGGGTCAGGTTTGGGTTTTGCAAAATAGCCAGCCCGCTCGGATGCCCGTCTGGAACGCTCTTCCTTTAAATATTAAGAAGCCACTGGATCTATGCAATTTTTGATATAGATTGAAAACTAATTTCTTTGCAACTGCTTTTTGTGTTTAGTTTTTTGTCCTTCCCCCCCTCCCCCCCGTACCTCCGATTAGCCATGGCTGGCTACGTACGATGTGAAAGAAATTCAACATGCACACATACGCACTGCTCTTGCTCGCCGCCTTATTCAACCGCTCTGATCCCGGATCCGTCTTCAATGACTGCCCCCCCCCCCCCCCCCCGGTTGCGCACATGCTTCGTAGAAAATTCTGCGCGTGCCGCCCCCCACCGACATTCCCCCAAAATAAACTTTTCTTTTGTTTGGTAAATTCGCTGAAGAAGCAAGTTGGTGCGTGCCTTGGCGAGACTCGGCGCGGCTCTCCCATCTAAATAAACCCGGCATCGTTAGTTACCGTTGTTTCGGTCGCGTGACGGCAAGTACACCGACCAGCCATGGGGACACGGAGCGACGGGCTTGGGTCATGTGCAGCAGTGAGATGGACGGGAGCAGCACTGCACCGTGCCATGGGGAGGCCTTTATCCAGCAGTGGATAGACAACAATAAGATTGTGTAAAAAAAAAATTGTTCCTGGGTAGTAAGTATTATTTCCTAATTGCTTATGCCTCCCAAGTACAGAAAATGGCTGTTATTCCCCAGAAACTTTGCTTTTGTTACCAGGACAGTGATATTTTGAAATTTAGCTATTTTCAATGAGAAAACGCGGTGTGCATTTGTGTCTTTCGTTCACGTAAAGTCCTGGTCACAAAAGCAAAGTTTGTGGGGAATAATAGCCATTTTCTATACTTTTTAGGCATAAGCAATAAAAAATATAACACTTAGTACCCAGGAACAAAAACTGTGTTACATAATGTAATCTTTATCATCATCATACGTACACGTATTTATTGCACCATTCGCATAGCGCAAGGTTATGGCGAAGGCGCTAGTCTTCACAGACGGGTATAGCCTGCGGTAGAGGGCAGTGTTGCTTTGCGTTTTTTTTACCCAATTGGCCATGTTCCCAGGGTGACTTCCAAACTCGGCAGACTTGGTTCGGCACACACGACCCGCGCATCTACGCACGATGGCAAAGGTTGTGCAGACGGCGGCTAATACAACTAAGTATTAACCGGGGCAGCCACTGGGGCTCGAACCACAAACCTTTCTCAACGAGCTGCAAACGGGCTTCCCGCTCGGCCTTGTCACCGCCCATGATGTCAACGATGATGATTTTACACTATGGGAACCTCATTTGCCAGTAAAAATATGATAATTGGTTTTTTACCCTTCTATCTGGCAACAAAACTGACACCTTTTTACAAGGAGTCATGTTTGCATAGACCGCAATACCTGCAGTCATGTGAGACTAGGCTCTAAGGAAAGCTGTCTCGGGTGTGGACCAATCAACTTCAAGGACAGTGCACATTATCAGAGTTCTTTTTTTGTATTATGACTGCAGGTATTGCAGTCCATGCAAACATGACTCCTTGTAAAAAGGAGTCAGTTTTGTTGCCAGATAGAAGGGTAAAAAAACAATTATGATGATGATTTTCTTTCACCGCCGCCGCGCCTCTACCCCCCCGCCCGCCTCCCCACCACAGCTACTTCAACTGCAGCTCGCCGGGCGTGCAGGCGTGCGGCGTGCCGGCCTCCTGCTGCCTGCCGCAGATCGACGGCGAGGCCGCCCTACCGGACCCGGTGGTCAACTCGCAGTGCGGCTACGGGGCGCTGCGCGTGACCGAGGCGGAGGCGCTGGCGCGCGTGCACGCCGCGGGCTGCGCGGCACGCTTCTCCGCGTGGTTCCATGCCAACGCCGGCGGCCTGGGCGCCGCTGCCATCGTGTTGCTGTCGGCGCAGGTGGCGGCGCTGGGGCTCGCGACCAAGATGCTCAGCGACATCGAGATGGTGAAGGCGCGCTGGTGAGGGCCGGAAGTACGCGGGCAGCTCGCGAGTCAACGTTTACCGCATCATCGCTGTCACCGTCATCGTCACCACCGTCATCTCCGTTGCATCGAGATGGTGAAGGCGCGGTGGCGAGGCCTTCAGTGGCTACTCAACCATCTATACCTTCGACACCACTGTGCTACGCACAAACAGGTCGCCATTAAGTGGCTGCGGAGGTGTGGTGCGTGGTGAGCAGAGCCGTTCAAATCCACCGCTGTGCCGTAACTCCCACGCTTCCGCCGTTAATGCTCCTCGCCCTTTACCAACACCCGCATCGGCCACCGTGGTGAAGCGTGATAAAATAATACGTAAGCCCCATGACCCGCATAGCTGTGTGCAGGGGAGGCCCTCATCCAGCAGTGGATTGACGAAGGAGGCCGTACGTGTAGCCGCCGGAGCATTGCCCCATTCGCAGAGCAGCTGTGACCCGCCTCGCACCGGCGTATAGTTACAGAGCTACTCACAGCCTCTCCTCCCCACTTACTGAAACACCTCCGTAACAAAACGGGTAAGAAAGGTCACACGCACGGATTCTTCGAGGATTTCCAACACCTGTTTGCCCACGGGTAGTTGGTGAGCATCATCAATGGTGGGTTGTAAGCCACACGGGGAGATGACGCCGCATGTAATGATGCCACGTAGCGATCGTACCGTGTAGGATTTAACGGCTGTGCTCCACGCGGATCGAAACGTCGGACACCGTGCCGAGCGATGCGCGGTACAACCTGGCAACGCACGGCGGAGGCTACGCAGCAGCACACCCGCGAACAACCCACTCGGTCACGTCAACTGTCGCTAATCTTCACGCAGCACCGCCGCTCACGGGGGATAAAAGATAGCACACCGGAGAACTAACCCTTAACTCAATTTGACCGGTTTTCTGTAGAGCAAGTTCCTAACGGCAACACAATTACATTCACACTGCATCATCTTTACGAGAGTTACCGTGCCCCACCCATCACAGACAGACAGACGGACTGACAGACAGACGTGGCAGGAGCTGATGGCATCCGCGCTTTTCAACCTCAAGTCGGAAAGCTTTACGGAAAAAAACAACATCATACACGGACCACATCCGGGGATGGAACCCACACCCACCTGCGGCCCGTCGAGCGGGTGGTGGCGCGTCAAGGCGTAGGCGACCGCTTCGTCCGAGAGCCGGGAGAAGTTTGCGGCGTCGGCCAGCTCCGCCAGACGGCGCAGGAAGACGGAGAGGCGGCCCTCGGGCTCTGTGAGGGCCGCCGTGGTCAGGGCCAGTGAGGCCTCCTCCTCGGCCTCCCAGTCCAGGTCCCACTCCTCCGCCTCCTCGTCCTCCCAGCCGCGCCCTCGGTCGAGGGAGGGCCTCCCCGGGTGGGTCAGGGTGTCGCGGTCCGGGTTCAGAGGCTCGTACAGCATCTGCGAGCCGGCACCGGGGCGGGGAGGCTCAAGATCACCCAATGGGCGGGGGGCAGAGGTCGCAAACGGCTTTTGATTCCTTACACGTACCCGTACCCGGCCGCATCAGGGTCGCAAACGGGTACCCGTACCCGGCCGTACCCGTACCCTACCCGTACCCGGCCGGGTACGGGTAGGGTACGGGTATCGGGTACCTGATTGCGACCTCTGGGATGAAGCCATGTTGCAGGCGCGGTTGGGTTGATGCTAGGAACTTAAATTGTGAGAAGAGACAAGACGTTGGGAAATGAGTGACAAAAGTTACTCACCAGTGACTCACGGTCTACCCGTACCCGTACCCGGCCGCACCAGGGTCGCAAACGGGTACCCGTACCTGGCTGGGTACTGGTAGCCGGGTATCGGGTACCCGGTTGCGACCTCGGGCGGGGGGGGGGGGGGGCGGTCGCCGCGGTACCGCACGAGGATATTTTGAGAAAATACGAGGGAGCCGCCGGTGGAGTTGTTGGGGCACAGACGCAAAATGACAAACGCTCGAGGGGGCGACCCGGCCGACAAGCGTCTTGATTGTCCGGCAATGGTTCCCATATTTCGCACGCAATTTAGATCAAAAGCATTTCGTGCAGCTTCCCCAAAAGTGTTTGGAACCGCCGCTCAGTTTTGTCTCCTTTGGCATCCCCATTCTGCCGTCTATATTCTCATTGACACTTACTCTCTTAAAATCACCGAGGTTCAAAGTGTGAATGTAATTTTACGGCAAAATGGCTGTTGCTTTTTGTCTGTAACCGTGGAATGCTGCGATGTTGTCTGCCGGCCGAGTCGCCCTTGAAAAAAAGAGCGTCCTGGCTGGACGGGCTCTTTATTCGGGTGCGAAATGAACTTCTTACTCCGATGGAACTCGGGTGCGGTTTCCACCCATTTGGGCTGCGTGTCCTGGGTTTGCCATGCACCACTACTGCGGGGGGCATCTTTAGGAGTTTAGAATTTGGAGAACGAAGGCTCTTGACACGTGGCCCAACCCAGGCGGATAGCCCAACCCAGGCACGTGGAACACAACTCGTATTTGAAAACCTACGCGGTTAAAATACTCAACACGTTCATCGATCACGCTGCCCCGAGAAGGAATAAATGTACAATAGGAGACGTTTCACGAATGGTCCATCCTTCTGTTACGAAGTTGGGCCGTTGCCCCGAATGTCAGCTCTGGTAAATAAACAGTAAGGTCTCAGAGTACGCGGGCTCAGAGTACGCGGACCCGCTCATACGCGACCGACCCCGATTCATACTCACATCTTGTGACTCGTACTTTCGCGACACGCACGGGGCGGCAAGCGAGGAGTCAAATCGAACTCCCCGCCATCCACCCGCACGTGGATTTGACGGCGTGTAAACCGTATCGCCCGCGGCAGAAACGAGTCCAAAACAAACTGTCGTGTTCTAATCTCGTGTTAACAAAATATATCGTGTTAATATTCTAGATTTGAAGTTTTCGTGACTGCAAGGATTCATACTCTTTGGTTTTTTGGGTAAAGTCACGTAGGTGAAAAATAAAATTAAAATAAATGAAATTCTGTTGTTTTTTCATTTATTTTTATTTTATTTTTTAACTACGTGACTTTAGCGAAAAAAACAAATAATCATCTAGTGTTCGACCTGACCTGGATGCTACCGATGATTAGCGAATCATTTACTGTACAGTACTGTACTTGATTAAATATGATGTACATTGAAAAACATTTTATAATCACTCTTACATTTTATATACTACACTTGTATAGTAATATAGTAGTGTAAAGTAGTATATAGTAATAAAGTAGTATATAGTAATATGAGTATAAAGTAGTGTATAGTATCTTCTTGGTTCTTTCGGTAAAGTCACGTAGAAAGGAAGTTTTAAAATAATAAAAATAAAACATAATAAAATAATTATCTTGTATTACTTCCCTTCTACGTGACTTTACCGAAAGAACCAAGAAGATGAATTTCTGCAGTCACGAAAGCTTTAAATCGAAATTTAGTGTATAGTATATATAGTAGTATACAGTTGTGTGTGGCTATAGCGTATACACTCGTACAGGCGAATGCCAACTTATGAGAATTTGTGCTTACGAGGGGGGTACACGGAACCTAACCCCTCCCAGCGCACTCTGAGACAAGACTGTATATAATGCACCTTCCTTTTCAGGGCAGTGTCGTTTACGAATGTACGACGATCATATCGTCTTATTTTTTTGCAATATGTCGTTATATTTCGTTGCTTCATCGTGTTTTCCTCAGATATTTTATTTCATCACAAAATACCCTTAGAAAGTAACAAACACTATAAATAAAATTATACTTCCCGGGGTGGAAATGGACAGGACGGGTTCCCAATTCACTCCTTGCGAGCCGCGGGTCTAAACTAACCGTGCCACCATAATGATATCTCCAGGCTTGTGCCTGCTTAGCTTACGAGATCCAACCAGATCCGTCCATAGCCTGTTATTACTGTGATTAATCATTAATTCATGATGTTGATTATTATTATCTACTTGTGTTCAGCACAATGATCCCGCGAGGGCCTTGAAGAGCCCTCCCTCGCGTCTTTAACGCAGACTTGAAGGAGGTTTACAGGGCATCACGACCCAGTCAAAGCGACCTCCTCCTCCTGCTGCTGCTGCTGCTGCTCAAATAAGCAGTGAGACATTGGTGCTAATCTCCCGTTTACAGCCCTGAGCCAGAGGCGGAAATTCCACATTACTATGGCGGGGGTGGCGGGGTCTATCCACAACCACCGTCGACTTCCCTAGCAAATTAGTACTAAATTTATCGACCCCAGAGGGTTGGTAACCCTCAACCAGGATTTTGACTCAAAACTTTACAATTAACCACCGGACCAGTTATAGGGTGTGGTGCGTGTGTTTTGTTTGCGTGGTCAACTGCAATTCCTGGGCCCCGCCTATTTGTATGCTTTATTAAAGCGAAGAGCATCATTACTTATGTGTCACGTGCAATACTTTGACACACACAACACGAATGTATATACAAACACTGTGTAGGATTATGCACGCGCTGCATTTTTAAATCCTTTATATTAAGTTCACTTGCTTGCTTTCTTGCGTGCTTACGACCGTGCAAATCTTTCGGTCGTTTTTTAACCCACTTCCCGTGATCCAATCGAGCTGACATTTTCCACACAGACTCGTTGTGCATGACAATTTATTTTCGTGAAAAAAAATCCAAAATTTGACACTTTTTAGGAATTTTTTTTATATTTAATTACCAATTGCTTAATGGTGGCAGGCAATCATCTGACCCATAGGTGGCAGCCATCTCAAGCCAGAGGACGAGAGGACTCTAGCCGCCACGCATATAAAGGATTTAGAGTGAAAAACTTAGTTTTTACGGGTTAATTTTATATAATATCTTGCTCGGCCCGGCACACCACATCCAGTATACCTATCGCTATGGCTGTGGCTATTACTAATCACGTGTCACCCACTCCAGTCTACCAATGACCTGGAAAAGATTCTGTGCAAGTTTAAGCCCCGAGCTTGCTCAAGGGGTGGAGTGGCGGCGCAGTGGTTCACATCCTCCATTCTGAACCTGGTGACCTAAGTTCAATTCCGACCCACGGCTAACATCAGTGGCAAGTGATATCTGAACAAGTCCTGGTCATACCCCCTTCCCCAGCTCCCCTGCCAGAACCACCCCCCCCCCCTACCCACCAGCACCCTGGCTCCCCTTGACATTTATACAAACCCACACCGACCATCGTGGTGAAGTATGGCCAATCAACCTCGCACGACCAACACTGCTCCGAGAGGTCATCGTCCAACAGTGAATTGACAGACGGCCATTATCTTCATCTGCTTGTTTCTTTCGGTAAAGTCACGTAGAATGGAAATAATAAAATAATAAAAATAAAACATAATAAAATAATTCTCACGACGTTTCGGCCACAACGCAAGCAGCCGTCCTCAGGTGAAGAACAGGTCTGTCGGGAAGACAGAGTCTGAATGAGACACCCCAGGTTTGGAGCGTCTATTTAAGCTGGGTTGGAGGGGGGAGAGCGCCTTGACAAAAGAATTTGCATATCAAGAGGAATTTAGCATATTTATGGGAAATGCAGATATGCGATTAATACTACTTATGAAATGCGTAGGAGGTTGGCGGGGGGTATAAAGTCAGAGGGCCGTTACTTTTTCATTTATGTGGAATACGTACCTTTAGCAGAATCCATCTCAGCGTGCTTTACATGTCACACATTCCCCACACTCCCGTGTACAAGAATGCCACAATCTCAATCGCGGAGGCCATGATCTCTTAATTAAAATTTCGGCAGCGGAAGGATGAGTATGCTATTGTTTCCTGGTTTCGCCCTAATTAGCACTCACCGCAGCCATTTACTGCCGAAAATACTGTGCTGCCATTCGTGCCGGTGGGGCCTGAGTAGCGTTCTGAACAGCCCCTACTGGGCATCTGTGAAAAAGAGCTTCAGACTTCCTCGGATTCCTCCAGCAGCATAAATGATGTCGACAGGCCCCTCCACGCAGCCCAAATAGTTGTCTAATTATAATTCTTTCAGAATAGACGACGCCGTTGCAGACGCCGTCACAGACGCCCTGAATCGAAACGACGCACTCCAGCGCAGTGCCAACAACTCTCTCTAGACGACGGCGCTGGGCTCTCGCCAGCAGGGAACACTAACCAGCGCAGGTCAGAGGTCGCAACCGGGTACCCGATACCCGTACCCTACCTGATACCCAGCTACCCGTACCCAGCCGGGTACGGGTACCCGTTTGCGACCCTGGTGCGGCCGGGTACGGGTACGGGTAGACCGTGAGTCACTTGTGAGTAACTGTTTGTCACTTATTTCCCAATGTCTTGTCTCTTCTCACAATTCAAGTTCCTAGAATCAACCCACCCGCGCCTGCAACATGGCTTCATCCCAGAGGTCGCAATCAGGTACCCGATACCCGTACCCTACCCGTACCCGGTCGGGTATGGGTAGGGTACGGGTACGGCCGGGTACGGGTACCCGTTTGCGACCCTGGTGCAGCCAGGTACGGGTAAGAAATCAAAACCCGTTTGCGACCTCTGGCGCAGGAGTGCTTCGCTCAAACTCTGCTGCACCCTGTCCGATCTTGAGCTGTCAAGTTTACTTTGTTTAAGCAGTTGAGACCAGGAAGTTCGTTCTCTTTCTTTTCACTTCAGCGGGGAAACCATGTTTCAAGGTCGCCGCCTAACTACCAGAATATGACCCATTTGAAGGCCGGTGATGCGTACTCCCTTGTTCCACGTAGGGATGGCTGCCACTGAGGCCCCCCTATGCTAGACTGCCACATGGCAATATCATTTATTGAGATGGAATGTGATGTAAGGCGCTTTGAGATGCTAAGTCATTTAAGCACATGTCCTAGAAATGCAAATCCTTATCCGTAATTCCTTTAAGTTGTCAAGCAGCACGTTATTTAATTTATTTAACCATTCGCCTCTTTCCTAATGGAAGTTCCTCCAAGAACTTCCGTCATCAAGCTTTCACTTCTGAAAATGTATCCAGCGCACATCTGTAGCCTTTTTTAGATCATCATACACAGCATCATCACATGATTACAACCTGCATCATTACACACACAGCAACATCAACAGAAATTCCTTCAGCAAGCTTCTTTCACCTCTGACCACGAGCCCAATCCACGTGTTTAGCCATTCTCCATTGTGCGCTTAAGCGGCAGGGTTGGTCGCAGAGCAGCTGGGCTGGGGGCTGGGAGCTGGGGGCTGGGGCTGGGGTACCTGGATATCCTCCAGTGTGGTGTGATAGTGCGGCAGCAGCGCCGGGTCCAGGGACTCGGAGAACTTCCAGAAGTCTTCTCGCTCGCCTTCGGGCAGATCCTGCGCCGGAGAGGATGGCAAAATGGGACGCGAGGCCCACGGGGACAATGGGAGCACAGGACAGCCTAGACCAAACCCTCAATCAGGGGTGGGTGAAGCTAGTCCTGAGGGCCGAATGAGACTTTAAAATATCAATGGCGGGCAAACAGCCTCTTCTGTCACTGCAAGATATGACCAAGTGTGTTCATTAGAGTTTATCCAGGCCAAAAAAATTCCCCTCTAGTACCCGATCAGTGCAGCCGAGATGCTTACAATGATGCATAACATTTGGAAGTGGTAGGCGTCATGTGATTGTGGGCCGCATGAAATAACGTCAAGGGTGGTATCCCATACGGGATCATGATGGCCACGTGAGGTCTACCAATTCTAAACGGCCCACAAGCGACATTTATCCACCACTGCAGGCGTCTTAGCCGAGAGCAGAGGTCGCAAATGGGTTTTGATTCCTTACCCGTACCCGTACCCGGCCGCACCAGGGTCGCAAATGGGTACCCGTACTCGTACCCGGCCCGTTCCCTACCCGTACCCTACCCGAAATGAGTGGCAAACGGTTACTCACCAATCTTAATTTGGAGCTTTCGTGACTGCAGGAATTATTCTTTGGTTCTTTCGGTAAAGTCACGTATAAAGATAAAATATTAAATTAAATAATAGCATACTACGACGTTTCGATTGCAACACAAGCAATCATCATCAGGTATAAAAGAAATAAAACTATAGACAGACATATAAGCAGACAGATATCACACAGATACACAGAGAGAGAACACGCATTGGCACAAAGAGAGAGATTGTCTCTGTGACGAGGCCTTAAATAGAGAGAGGGTTACTCACCAGTGACTCACGCCTTACCCGTACTCGTACCCGGCCGCACCAGGGTCGCAAACGTGTACCCGTACCTGGCCGGGTACGGGTAGCCGGGTATCGGGTAGGGTACGGGTATCGGGTACCGGGTTGCGACCTCTGGCGGAGAGAGAAGGAGTGCAACTGCCCTCCTTTCACCCCTCTCCCAGGCCTCTGCCACCCCGTCAGGAAGATACTCCCCACCTCTGCTGTAGGTCCGACCAATGGCGGAGCCAGGATTTTCAGGTAGGGGGGAGGCAACCCCTCCAGCAATGAAAAATGATAGAGGAGTTGTTAGTAAGTGAGGACTTGTGCCTTGATTTTTGTTCGACGCGTGTGCGGCGATGGCGCAGCCATCGATCGAGGGTCGAATTCGAACCGCGTTGTGTGATCGGCATCGCGCTCGCTGAAGGTGAATGACTTCAGGGAAGTCGTGGACTGTGTACGCAACTGCGCACAATTCTGTGTGTCACTTATAACCACTTTGCCGTTACTTATTGCCAATTATGAATCAGACTATTGTCCTATCATCTCATAGAGTCCCTGGCACGTACTAATATGCTACACAGTGGCAGTGGGGGTCGCAAAATGCCAATTTATTACTAATAAACCCCACAGATCCGATCGAAATCCCTAATTTCGAAATCCCTAATTTCGAAATCCCTAATTTCGATCGGTTCATTGGGGGGGGCACGTGCCACCCCACCCCCCCCCACTGGCTCCGCCAATGGGTCCGACCATGTCCGTCCAATGCTCGCTGAGTTGCATTGGCTTCCGGTTGCTGAACGAATACATTATAAGGTCGCACTCATTACACACAAAGTGTTTGCCTCAAATGAAGTACAATACTTTGCTGATCTCGTCAAGGAGCATAAATCATCACACGAACTCCGGTCATTCTGGCTGTCGATTTTGGCTAGCCATTGAACAAAGACGGCCACTGCATTGCGCACTTTCACGTACGCTTCTGCGGCCGTCTGGAACGCTCTTCCTTCCGATATTCGGAAGCCACTGGAGCTTAGCACTTCTAAATCAACTACATTGAAAAATAATTTCTTCCCCCGCACCTCCAATTAGCACAGTTGGCCACGTACGGTGCGAAAGAAGTTCAACGTACAAACACACGTAGGCCCACACCTTCGCGAGCATCGATGTGAGCTTGGCCCTCGTCACGGGCACGTATCGCTCCGTGTAGGTGCTGTGCGTGCCATCTCCCACCGCCTCCCTCCTCCTCCGCGTCCTCTTCGCCTCCTCCACCTTTTTGACCAGACTGGCGACGTCACCCACGACCTCCGAGGTATCTCTTGCCCCGGTGGAGACCTCGCTAAAGCTACGCGACCTGACCCCGGCGAAGGTCACGGCCGCCACCCTCCTGGCCACGACTCTGGACGCGACCTCTCGCAGGCGCAGCAAGGAGAGGCAGGCGCAGGGCATGGCGATGGGGTGTAGCGGTCGACGCTCCGAGTCTGCGGGGAAACGGGGATGGCAGAGGCGGGGTATTAGTGAAGACTTGTATACAGTGAGGGAAAAAAGTATTTGATCCCCTGCTGATTTTGTACGTTTTCCCACTGACAAAGAAATGATCAGTGTATAATTTTAATGGTAGGTTTATTTGAACAGTGAGAGACAGAATAACAACAACAAAATCCAGAAAAACGCATGTCAAAAATGTTATAAATTGATTTGCATTTTAATGAGGGAAATAAGTATTTGACCCCTCTGCAAAACATGACTTAGTACTTGGTGACAAAACCCTTGTTGGCAATCACAGAGGTCAGACGTTTCTTGTAGTTGGCTTATTTCCCTCAATAAAATGCAAATCAATTTATAACATTTTTGACATGCGTTTTTCTGGATTTTGGTACATATCAATTGTGTATTCAATGCATGTATCACGAAAGTAAACATCCATATGAATCCATTAGTTTACTCATGATGATTTAACCGCTGAAGTGATGCAATGTTGTATTTCTAGCGCTGATATGCCGATACATGGACAATTCATATACCTGCTGGGAAAGCTTTGTTACCTGCTTGTTTTAATGTAGCTGTCTAAATCCAGATCACGAAGGTTCTAGATTGTCGTAATGATCAGTATCCTTTACAGCCGTTTGTCAACGTTTCACGTGGCCTTTTTATCTCTCCGCACTTGGTGGCACACTTGACTGCACACTCCACTCTGCGGCCAGATACTGTTGTCGAACCAACATAAAAATGAACAAGAAGCACTGGGCCTTTGCACTTTAGCAAACAAACAAAATAAAAGCCCACGTGTTTTAAAACTTATGGATTTTTGGCCTATGATATTTTTGTCCGTTAAGATGGGTTTTGTCGCATCCTTGAGAGGGCTTTATATTCTCAAGAGTCTGAATTTGGCCACAGCAATTTAAACAATTTTATTTTATTTACGGCTTTTGTGTGCAGTTATTCGTGACCCGGCTGAGACATTCAATTAAAATACTTTGCGCGCGCTCGCAATATATGATCCTCCAGTCGATGTAGGCCGCCGATGGGTTTCTTTATCTCATCCCTATTGCTGCTCCGTGCCCTCTGTGACGGTTCCCGTTCCGCTGTAATGTCCACTGACGCCCACTTTATTAAGGGCTATAATTGGCACGTACAATAAAGGTTGATTGTTTGAAACACACCTGAGAAGCCAGCTTAACCGCTGGTGTCTGAAACCTGGGATCAAGCCCAGGTGTTGGCTCAGCGCTCTGACCTTTCGGCCTTCTTGGCCTCCCTTGCTGGAGTGGTCAAAGCTGTTGTTGGAGTGATACTGTGTCAACGCTTTGTCAAGAATGTTTTCCTCGTGCTAAACAAATGCACAGATTTGTGAACAATTTCACGAGCCACTGTGACAAGTTCACGGACACTTTGGCACACCGGTTGAAGGTCGCATCAGCACAACATCATCACCACCTCCTCCGTGGTGACAATTCAACGTTGATGTTTTTCTTTCTTCAGGAGGTGCAAACCCCCACCATAGCAATGTGGAATTTCTATGACAGTCACCATTGGAACCTCATTTACCAGTAAAAAATATGATAATTGTTTTTTTACCCTTCTATCTGGCAACAAAACTGACACCTTTTCTACAAGGAGTCATGTTTGTATAGACCACAATACCTGCAGTCATAATGGAAACAAAAAACACAACTCTAATAATGTATGCACTGTTCTTGAAGTTGATTGGTCCACACCCGAGTCAGCTTTCCTTAGAGCCTAGTCTCACATGGGTTGGACCAGATGACGCCAAAAGGTGTCAGTTTTGTTGCCAGATAGAAGGGTAAAACACCAATTATTCTACGACAGTCTTAGGGCCACCAGTGGGAGATGAGAACTGTCCAATGCTTGACTGAGTGGGGTGACTGAGTTTTGGTGATTTGTGATACGGGCAGGCTGTAGGGACAGGGGGGAGAGAGAGATACAAGCAGCTGCCACTGCCATCCATTAATTTGACCGCAGTGGTTGACAAGCCAGCAATGAAAACAACAAGGGAGGTGACAGCAAGAGAGGTGATAGCAAGGGAGGTGACATCGAGGCGAATCGGTAGCACGCAAGAGACAGCTGGAACGAGATACAGCAGAATGCAAGCCACAGCCAGGGAGACAGCAGTAGGGACAGCAGAAATTCATGGCAAGATACCGCAAAATCATCAGAACCAGGCGCAGACAACAGTAGCAATAGCAACGACAGCAAATGCACATTGAAGCCGTATGCACAGCGACTGCAACAGCAGCAGCAACACGCATAGCTTGACAATAGCTACAGTACCGTATACACTACAGCGTATACAGTGCACCACGTGCAGCACTGTATGTACACACACACACAACACATGCTGTGTGTGTACACACTGCGTGCTGTGTATATATGTATGGTGTGTGCATATACACACACACACAGCACATGCTGTGTGTGTACACACTGCGTGCTGTGTATATATGTATGGTGTGTGCATATACACACACACACAGCACATGCTGTGTGTGTACACTCTGCGTGCTGTGTATGTATGTATGGTGTGTGCATATACACACACACACAGCACAGCACATGCTGTGTGTGTACACACTGCGTGCTGTGTTATATGTATGGTGTGTGCATATACACACCACACACAGCACATGCTGTGTGTGTACACTCTGCGTGCTGTGTATGTATGTATGGTGTGTGCATATATACACACACACAGCACATGCTGTGTATGTACACTCTGCGTGCTGTGTATGTATGTATGGTGTGTGAATACATACTACACACATCTGTGTGTATATACACACACACAGCATGGCTACATACACACAGTACACACATCACACCCTCCAGCTTTGAGAGTTCACACAGCACATGCAGTACTGCATACATCCAGCATATGCGGTGTGTACAGCACACACACACACAGTGTTACATTGTGTATGTGTGTGTGTGCTGTACACACACAGCATGCGGTACACACAGTCCACACATCATCCATGTACGGCACACACAGAGTACGCAGCCTACACAGAGCAGCATAAACACACAGCATAGACAGTACACACAGCGCATGCAGTACACACGCGGCACAGACAGTACACACAACACTATAGTACATACAGCACGTACAGTACACACCGCACGTACAGTACATACGGCGCGGACAGTACACGCGCGGCACGTACAGTACACACAGCACGTACAATACACACACGGCACGTACAGTACATACACATACAGTACACACGGCACGTACAGTACACACACCACGTACAGTACACACGTACAGTACACACGGCACGTACAGTACACACACGGCACGTACAGTACACAGACGGCGCGTACAGTACACACGTACAGTACACACGCGGCACGTACAGTACACACACGGCACGTACAGTACACACGCGGCACGTACAGTACACACACGACACGTACAGTACACAGTACAGTACACACACGGCGCGTACAGTACACACGCGTACAGTACACACGTACAGTACACACGTACAGTACACACGCGGCACATACAGTACACACACGACACGTACAGTACACAGTACAGTACACACACGGCGCGTACAGTACACACACGGCACGTACAGTACACACGCGTACAGTACACTCGTACAGTACACACACGTACAGTACACACGGCACGTACAGTACACGCACGGCACGTACAGTACACACACACACGCGGGATACGCACCACGCCTCCTTCCCTCGTCGTCTAAACCTCCTCAGCCTCCTCCTCCTCCACCACCACCACGGCCTCGGAGCAAAGCAGCTCGGAGACTGCACGGCCGCTGCTGTTGTTGCTACTGCTGCTGTTGTTGTTGTTGCTGCTGTTGCTGATGTTGATGTTGCTGCTTCTACTGCTGTTGTTGTTGTTGCTGCTGCTGTTGTTGCTGCTGTTGTTGTTGTTGCAGTTGTTGCTGCTGCTTCTGCTGCGGCTGCCGCTTCTGCTGTAAGTGCCGTAGTCAGCAGCAGGCAGACTCAGTTATACTGGAGCCATTAAAAATAGATCAGTCCAGATCCTCTAATAGTCTAATCACTCACTCACACCACACAGAGGTGGGGGGGGGGGGTCACTCACCCTCCACTCAGAGGGGGGGGGGGGTCACTCAGTCACTCACACCACACAGAGGGGGGGGGTCACTCAGTCACTCACGCCACACAGAGGGGGGGGGTCACTCAGTCACTCACCCTCCACTCAGAGGGGGGGGGGTCACTCACCCTCCACTCAGAGGGGGGGGGGGTCACTCACCCTCCACTCAGAGGGGGGGGGTCACTCACCCTCCACTCAGAGGGGGGGGGGTCACTCAGTCACACCACACAGAGGGGGGGGGTCACTCACCCTCCACTCAGAGGGGGGGGGGCACTCAGTCACACCACACAGAGGGGGGGGTCACTCAGTCACTCACCCTCCACTCAGAGGGGGGGGGGGTCACTCAGTCACTCACACCACTCAGAGGGGGGGGTCACTCAGTCACTCACCCTCCACACAGAGGGGGGGGTCACTCAGTCACTCACCCTCCACTCAGAGGGGGGGGGTCACTCAGTCACTCACACCACACAGAGGGGGGGGGTCACTCACACTCCACTCAGGGGGGGGGGGTCACTCACACTCCACTCAGAGGGAGGGGGGTCACTCAGTCACTCACACCACACAGAGGGGGGGGGGTCACTCAGTCACTCACCCTCCACTCAGAGGGGGGGGGGTCACTCAGTCACTCACACCACACAGAGGGGGGGGGTCACTCACACTCCACTCAGGGGGGGGGTCACTCACACTCCACTCAGAGGGAGGGGGGTCACTCAGTCACTCACACCACACAGAGGGGGGGGGGTCACTCACACTCCACTCAGGGGGGGGGGGTCACTCACACTCCACTCAGAGGGGGGGGTCACTCACACTCCACACAGAGGGGGGGGGGTCACTCACACTCCACACAGAGGGGGGGGGCACTCAGTCACTCACACCACACAGAGGGGGGGGGGTCACTCACACTCCACTCAGAGGGGGGGGGGTCACTCACACTCCACTCAGAGGGGGGGGGGTCACTCACCCTCCACTCAGAGGGGGGGGTCACTCACACTCCACTCAGAGGGGGGGGGTCACTCACACTCCACTCAGAGGGGGGGGTCACTCACACTCCACTCAGAGGGGGGGTCACTCAGTCACACCACACCACACAGAGGGGGGGGGGGTCACTCAGTCACTCACCCTCCACTCAGAGGGGGGGGTCACTCAGTCACTCACACCACTCAGAGGGGGGGGGGTCACTCAGTCACTCACACCACACAGAGGGGGGGGGGGTCACTCACCCTCCACTCAGAGGGGGGGGGTCACTCAGTCACTCACACCACTCAGAGGGGGGGGGGGGTCACTCAGTCACTCACACCACTCAGAGGGGGGGGGGGTCACTCAGTCACTCACACCACTCAGAGGGGGGGGGTCACTCACACTCCACTCAGAGGGAGGGGGGTCACTCACACTCCACTCAGAGGGGGGGGGTCACTCAGTCACTCACACCACACAGAGGGGGGGTCACTCACACTCCACTCAGAGGGAGGGGGGTCACTCACACTCCACTCAGAGGGGGGGGGGGTCACTCACACTACACACAGAGGGGTGACTGTCACACTCAGTCAATCACACTCCGCACAGAGGGGGGGGGGGGTCACACTCAGTCACTCTCTCCACTCAGGGGGGTGACTGTCAGTCTGTCACACTCAGTCACTCACCCTCTCACACTGCTGAGCGATGTCTCCGCTTGCGCTGGCGTTCCCTTCCAAATCGATTCCTCGCCCGCGGCAACCCCATAGATCTGTTATGTTTCGATTCCATCTGTCCTGTTTGTTTATCGCGTTGCGTTTTCATTATGAAACCGGTGGTTCTTCACCTTTGCTGCAGCCACGCACCTCTATGGTTCTCATAAAGGGAATCTCGCACTCCCAGGTGAAGAACCACTGGCTTGTCCAGTACACACGTGACAGACTCACCCCGCAGTACACACGTGACAGACTCACCCCGCAGTACACACGTGACAGTACAGACTAAGGGGCCGTCCATAAATGACGTCACCCACCTGGGGGGGGGGGGGGTGTCAGACATTTGTGACGATGTGTGACGAGGGGGGGGGGGGTTAGAAATGTGACGTCACATCAAAACGCGCAACTTTAAATAAATATAGACAACACGTTCTACTTAATTAAATAGACTTTCTAATAAATGTTTTCTCCTACAACATCAGAGTGCAGCGCCACATTGAATACGCACTACAATGACAATAGTTTAAAGCGATTTGAAGCATGTTTTATTTTTTGGGGGGGGGGGGGGGCAGAGCTTTGTGAAGTCATATTTGAGGGGGGGGGGTGGTCTGACTTTTTGTGACGCCGTGTGACGATGGGGGGGGGTGGTCAAAAATCGTCCGAAATCGCGTGACGTCATTTATGGACGGCCCCAAACCCCGCAGTACAGACGGGACGAAATGGGGAGTACAGATTCAGGCAAGGACACATTCCGTTCGGACACGTTGTACAGAACGTGCAGTACATATTGCAGGAGATTGAAGGGCACAAAGTGAAGACAGTTTAACACGCCAGACAACAACATCATCATCATCATTAGCTAAGTCGTAATAATCGTGAAGCCGATTCCGGATCGAGTTTTGGGGTGGGGTAAATGTTACATAACTGCTACGATTGGCCGTGACATTGAGACGGAACGGTAGGGCAATGTCAGTCATCTGAACACTCAAACCCAAACCCCTATCGCTTTAAGGGCCGTCCATAAATGACGTCACTGCGATTTTGGACGATTTTTGACCCCCCCCCCCCCCATCGTCACACGGCGTCACAAAAAGTCAGACCCCCCCTTTAAATATGACGTCACAAAGCTCTGCCCCCCCCCCCAAATGAAACATGCTTCAAATCGCTTTAAACTATTGTCATTGTAGCGCGTGTTTAATGTGGCGCTGCACTCTGATGTTGTAGGAGAAAATATTTATTGAAAAGTATATTTAATTAAGTAGAACGTGTTGTCTATATTTATTTAAAGTTGCGCATTTTGATGTGACGTCACATTTCTCACCACCCCCCCCCCCTCGTCACACATCGTCACAAATGTCTGACCCCCCCCCTCCCCCCTAGGTGCGTGACGTCATTTATGAACGTCCCCCGAGCCACGAGAAATTAGCCCTTTTGGGTATGAACAGGCAACACAAGCTTCCGTCTTCAGGTGGAACCGTCACAGCCACGACAGCTGTATCAAGTAAATGAGAGATTACAAGAGCTACCACTCCGTATATATAATGGTTGAAGAGGGGAAGGGCCCAGTACGGCACACTTTTTATTAATATGGTAAGGTGAGGCTTAAGACTAAGAATAGATTGCATAACAAAGGCTGAGCCTTTGTTATGGAGAGGTACGGTTTGTGACTAAGCCTGGCCCACATAACAATAGTGTGAAAAAAGAAAACAACTAAACATGGTAAAAACAAGCCTGGCTGTCTATCAATAACCTGTAATAGTTGTCTGTCAAATAAGATGGACCAAATAAGTGTAGTTAGTGCCGTACTTGGTCCTTCCCCTCTTCAACCATTATATATACGGAGTGGTAGCTATTGTAATCTCTCATTTACTTGATACAGCCGTCGTGGCTGTGACGGTTCCACCTGAAGACGGAAGCTTGTGTTGCCTCCGAAACGTCGTGATTTTTATTTTTATTTTACTTTTATTAATTTTAATGTTTGACCCACGTGACTTTACCGAAAAAACCTAAGAATATGAATCCTTGCAGTCACGAAAGCTTCAAATCTAGAATTGTTTTATATTTATATTATTTTATTTGAAAAAATAAAGAAATATTAATTTATTTATATCAATATTATTTCATTATTTCCCTTCTACGTGACTTTACCGAAAGAACCAAGAATATAAAGAAATTGTTATTTTTGCACGCTGTGTTGGGGCTGGCCGGGCCGTGCCGGGGGAATCCCCTCTCACCGCCCACGAGGGAACCCCCGGAAGTGCGTCACTCGGCACGTCCGTTACAACCGGAAACAGCTGACTGCCCGGGCACAGGCGCAGGACCACGTGAAACGCAGTTGGGGAAGTCACCGTCTCTTCCCTCTCCGCTCCCTCCTACGGCCCTCTCTGGCCACTCCTACGGCCCTCTCTGGTCACTCCACGTTCGCATGGCGAGCAACGAGTTTTGCTCGTGACTCGTGCAGAGGTTTGGCGCGTGGCTACACGTCAAGACGCTCGTCGACTACGCTTGGCTTGGTGAGGGCGAGACGCGCAGACGTTGAGGGTTGTGTTGGGGGGTGGGTGTTTAGATTGTTGTCCGCACCTCCGATGGGCACGCTGGGCTACGTATGGTGCGAAAGAAGTTGAACGCACATCTTTTTTTACGCCTCTAACTAACTTGCAAGCCACACACTCGCGCTAACCTCCAACCCAAACAACTCTTAACTCTTATACCCCTCTTGGTTTGAAGCTTTCGTGACTGCAGGCATCCCATGCTCTTTGGTTCTTTCGGTAAAGTCACGTAGGTAGAAAACTAAAACAAAACAAAAAAAACAATCTATCACGACGTTTCGATCGCAACACAAGCGGTCGTCCTCGGGTAGGAAAAAAAATGATCCAGCAGCGTCCCTGCTGAGGCAGCGAGAGAGCTGTTACAACAACAACAAGAGGTTATTGACGTGGCGATAGACAATCACACCCCTGCCAGACACACACTCCAAGCCCTCTCTTGATTCCGAACGACTCGCCACCGATCTTCTTGGTTCTTTCGGTAAAGTCACGTAGAAGGGAAGTAATAAAATAATAAAAATAAACCATAAAATAAAATAATTCTCACGACGTTTCGGCTACAACGACTTTACCGAAAGAACCAAGAAGATGAATCCCTGCAGTCACGAAAGCTTTAAATCGAAACTCGCCACCGATGTTCGCGCTCGGCAATCCGACTCACATCGCAGTCGGCAAACGGCTGCTCCTCCACCGGCTCCAGATCATAGCGAGCGATCTCGTTTAGGTCTTGGCGCCTGGGGTTTGTTTTGACCATACTTCACCACGCTGGGAGCCGGGTTGGGGGGAGGTGGAACGGTGAGGGCGTGCGGTGGCTTACAGGCCCCTTCGTGCGGACGGTGATGCCCGCTAGGATTATGAGCCTCACCTTACCACAGCGGTCGGGAGCCTATGGCTCGCGAGCCCATATATGGCTCTTCCAGTGACGGCATATGGCTTCCCAGACAATTTTGAGTTGAAAAAAAAAATCAGTTTGGAACTGATTTTAAAATACTTAAATAAATTTCACGGGTCACGCCTGCACGAAGCTCAACCTCACCACGTATGAACCAGACTACAAGGCCATCAGCAAAACCACGCAGCACCAGAAGTCGCATTAAAAGTAAGACATATTTAATTTATTATACGTTAAAAATACTATATGGCTCTCAATGAAATATATTTAGAAATATTTGGCTTTTATGGCTCTCCCAGTCAAAAAGGTCCCCGACCCCTGCCTTACCATATGGATAAAAAAGTGTGCTGTACTTGGCCCTTCCCCCCTCTCCAACCATTATATAAACGGAGTGGTAGCTCTTTCAATCTCTCATTTACTTGATACAGCTGACGGTTCCACCTGAAGACGGAAGCTTGTGTTGCCTCCGAGACGTCGTGAATTTTATTTTATTTTACTTTTATTAATTTTAATGTTTTACCTACGTGACTTTACCGAAAACACCTAAGAATATGAATCCTTGCAGTCACGAAAGCTTCAAATCTAGAATTAAGGGATGTTTAAATTGACCTTCGTGCGGACGATGATGTCCGCTGGGATGAGCAGAGAGGGACGTGGAAATCGACCTCCGTGCGGACGGTGATGCCCGCTGGGATTATGAAGAGAGGGATGTTGAACTTTGGGGAGGTGGGTGGGTGGGTAGGAGGAGGAGCGGCGCTATGGATACGGCGTGGGTCGCGACGAGTCGTGGCGCGGCGTTGACGCGGGCGAGGGAGGCGGCAGCAGCAGCAGCAAGGGAGTTAATACACGGCTCTGGGCTCTCTGCCACGGCGTGTGAACATCGCGACCACACGAGGTAAACGAGATATGTACTTGGGGGGGGGGGGGCGTGGGGGCGATTCGACGACATCGAACCAAGTGGGGGGCACCCCAGCCATGGTAACGCCGTACAGAGGTCGAGTGTCAGAGGTCGCAATCGGGTACCCGATACCCGTACCCTACCCGATACCCGGCTACCCGTACCCGTTTGCGACCTTGGTGCGGCCGGGTACGGGTAGGCCGTGAGTCATTGGTGAGTAACCGTTTGTCACTCATTTCGGGTAGGGTACGGGTAGGGAACGGGTACCCGTTTGCGACCCTGGTGCGGCCGGGTACGGGTACGGGTAGGCCGTGAGTCACTGGTGAGTAACCGTTTGTCACTCATTTCGGGTAGGATACGGAACGGGTACCCGTACCCGGCCGGGTACGGGTACCCGTTTGCGACCCTGGTGTGGGTAGGGTACGGGTAGGCCGTGAGTCACTGGTGAGTAGCCGTTTGTTACTCATTTCGGGTAGGGTACGGGTACGGGTACCCGTACTCGGCCGGGTACGGGTACGGGTACCCGTTTGCGACCCTGGTGCGGCCGGGTACGGGTAAGGAATCAAAACCCGTTTGCGACCTCTGTCGAGTGTACGGTGCCCGGAGTATTCCTCCGACCAACGTAGCCAAGTGCGATCGAACGACAGCCCCCCGTGACTCGGAACGGCATGGGGAGGCCCTCATCCAGCAGTGATTCGACACGAGGGCTGTACAACTCGTTAGAATTGTAACAGTGTACCGCAACCTTGGCTGGGGTTTTTCCATCTCGTTTCGCAACGACATACCTGGCAACCCATATGGTTTATCCCGTATTCTTGTACAGGGAAATTTTATTTTTAGGTCCATACGGCGTACGGCCGTTTTAATGCGGGCAAACAAATGATTTGTCAATTTGTTTGTGTTTCTCTC